GAAAGAGTAAATGTGATCCAAAATGTACAATAGATATTGTAAAATGGGAAGAAACTTCAGAAGGAAAGAGAAACTAGTTTATGGGAATGGGGAAAGAAAGAAGGAAGGGAAAAGTAAAAGGAATATATATATATATATATATACATATATATATATGATAGTTAAGATAATTATGCTGCTGATTTATCTCAATTCGTTGAAGGGATAGGTTTGCACTAGTATTTGTTTGGACAATTAAATGCTGATATCTTGCACAAGTAACTGACTTGAAGATAACAATGTGCAATGTGTTGACCATTCTTACCCTCCTATCATATTGTTTTGGAATTTTATTTTTAGATTCTACATTTTTTGTTTCCTTTTCTTTAAAAAAAAAAGTGATGAGCTCACAGTGGCTATGAGGTTCATGCTGCTGACCAGGTGAGCCGGGTGTGGTATTACACACCTACAGTCCTAGCACTATTGGAAGCTGAGGCAGGAAGATCGCAGGTCGGAGACCATCAAAGGCAATTTAGCAATTTAGTAAGATCCTCTCTCAAAATTTATAAAATACAGTGGGGGGCTGGGGATGTGGCTCAGTGGAAGAGCTCTTGCCTTGTGTGCATTAGGTCCTGGGTTCACTCCCCAGCACCACACACAAAAAAATACAATAAGGGGGCTGAGGAGGTAGCTCAGGGCAGAATCCCTGATTCAATCCCCAGAACCCACACATAAAGAAACAAAAAATTTTCACAGGGCTCAGAACATGCCATCCCAAAATATGGCATCTTGGCATATATGAAAGTGTTAAACTGAAGGACTCTAAGAAATGCCAAGGAGAGGAAGGACCTGCTGCCCTGAGACACCTTTGGGAGCGGGCCCTCCGGTGCCCAGCGGAAGTAGCAGCCTTGTCACTCCTGGTGAACACAGGCTTGCGTGGCCCTAGTGCCCCACCTGCAGCTCCCGACCTTGGTTCTGTCACACAGGCCAGGGCTTGGCACTCTTCCTTGAGCCCAGTACTGCAGCATGCAGCTGCCTCTTGGGGTCTCCCTGTCCTCACAGAAGCTCCTGCACCATGCAACACTGGGACTACACGTAGCCTGCTCCCCTCTGACTCTGTCTGCTCAACTGACAGCCCACAGCAGGGCTCAGCTTTTTTGTTTTTGGTCTTTTTGAGACAGGGTCTCCCTATGCAGTTCAAGCTGGCCTTGAGCTCACTTTGTAGCCCAGGGTGGCCTCGAACTTGCAATGTTTCTCCTGCCTCAGCCTCCCGAGTGCTGGGATTACAGGCGTGCGCCACCACGCCCAGCAAGGCTCGGCTTTGTGTCCCCTCTGAAACTTGCACTGAGACTGCGTCTCCAGTGCAAGGTGCTTAGGGTGGCGAGGTCACCCCCTCTTGGGAGCAGGCTAAGGCTGCTTTGAAACGACTCCAGGAACAGCTTTGCCCTTCTGCCCTCTCTGTGGGACGAGGCAGTAGGCAGTTGGGCTGAAGCCACGTGCTGGACCTTCATCTTGAACTTGGCCTCTGAAACTATGAGAGATAAATGTCAATTCTTTATCAATGACCCAATCTCGGGTCTTCTATTACAGTAACATGGAACAGACTGAGACAGCAGGTAGAAGCAAAGGGTATTTTTTCCCCTTTTCCTACCATAGTGACTTTAAAATGTGCCAGGAACCACACCCACACTGTCCTTCCAGAATCTCTTGATGAGTCTGGGGATGCAGGTCAGGTTTCCAAGAGCCTCTGGTAACACGCAAGCCTGTTTTCCATAACAATTTCTTGTACTGATTGACGGAATGGGGGATGGAGCCCAGGGCCTTCACACTGAGGTGCATCCCTAGCCTTTTTCTTATTTTTTTAATCGGCCAATGGTCTGGCCAGGTTGCTCAGACCAAGCTCAGACTTGGAATCCTCCTGCTTCAGCCTCCCAGAGTGCATGCTGCTGGTACCACAGGCCTGAGCCACCATGCCTGGCTTTTTTTTTTTCTTTCTTCCAGGGCTGGGTGTGGAACCCAGGGATTTATTCGTGCTAGGCTAGCACCCTACCGCAGAGCTGCACCCCCGGCTCCCAACCCCGTTTTGTAAAGGTGCGTTTAAAGACACTTGACTTGACACAAACTGTTGATTCACTAACATTGAGCCAGTGAGGCCTATTTAACTCACCAGTCTCTGTAAGGCACCGTGCACTCTTCCAGGACTCGGAAGTGTTACTTGGTGCTTCAGCGCTGTGTATGAGGGCTGTGTACGCAGCAAAATCCCCAGCAAAACGCCTCAAATGTGGAAAACATGGCCCTAAACAGACCACGAAAAAGACATTCACTGCTAGCAGGAACCCAACATGAAAGCTTGTTCAACCTCCGCTGGGAGGGGCCTAACCTGGCAATCCAAATCTTTACACTGCACTAAGCCAGTCTCTGAACATGCCTCATGCATTGACTTTGGAGCCAAGATTAAAATGTGGCAAGCAGGTGAATTCCTCAACGGAGCCTGTGGCTAATGAGAACCAAGAGTGTGTTTGCTTCCAACCCGAGCTGGTCTGTCACCCTCTGTATCCTCTCCCACAGTCCAGTAAGATGAACAATGCTAAGACTTATTCGAGGCCAAGCAAATGTGCCCCTGACATTTGTGCCCAGTGAGAGAATTAGTGTTGACCCCTGTCCTAGCTTGACCAGAACTGAAGCATCTCCCTGGATGTAGGAGTTCGAGTGTTAAAACCAGAACAGTCTCAAGCAGACTGGGATGAGTTGGTCACCCATCATATCACATAAAAACTTTTTCCCCCCTGGTACTGAGAATTAAACACTGAGCTACATCCCCAGCCCCCTATTTTTATTTTTGAGACAGGCTCTCCCTAAAGTCACTAAATTGCCCCTGCTGGGCTCAAACTTGCCACCCCCCTGCCTCAGCCTCCCAGAATCTTGGGATTACAGGCATGTGCTACCATGCCCGGCTCACATGAAATCTATTGAGAAATTTGAAACATAAATGATTTACCAGATCTAGAAATGAAAATCCTATGAAATACTTTTTATCAAAATAGAATGATTTGCGGCACTACTGTTTCCTACCTGCCTAGTTGCCAAAGTGAAAGTTACCACATTTCCTGTTTTATAACCAGATTTGCAACTGCACAAATGCAATAGCAGTTTCACAATGAAAACAGTTTCCCAGCCTTCACGGACAGCTGTTGCCCATCCATTCCCAGGTGTGTCCCGGGCACTGAGAATCGGGCGCCAAGCTTCAAGGAAACGCCCGTTCTTCTCCAAGGGCGGCTTCCTACCCTCCGAGGAGGGCCTGACACCTCCACTTGATTATCAGGTGTCTGAAGCCAGCACAATCACAGACCTCTGTGCCAGGAGCAAAACAGTCCCTTTTCCTTCTGCGAGAACAGCTGAAGAGTCATGTGGCCACTTCCCTGGGCCTGAGTGCTGAGCTTGAGGTAGATGTTTCCAGCTCCATGAGTTGGAACCATAGGGCTGCAGCCTGATTTGTGGACCCTGGGCTAAGGGCCGTGGGGCTGGCGCTGCGCTGGCTGCTGTCTGTCCATCACACTGACCCTCACGGGGACCTCTGTGCAGCTGTTCTCTCCCCCAGGCTGTAGGTAAGGACAGCGAAGCTGGAAGAGGCTGTGGGATGCTCAGTAGGTCAAGGGCGGAGAGTGGGAGTGTGCAAGGAGAAAGTGAGCTCACCTGGATTTGGACTTCCGGTCCAGAACTTACAAAATACGTGCTGCTCATAAACCACACCGTCGGTCTTCTTTTGTTGTAGCAGCCTGGATGGGGCCCGGAGAGGGTGGCAGAAGTTACCAGGCCTGGGCTTTCCCAGCTCCCACCCAGCACTGCCCTTCCTCCTGCCCGACACCTGTCAATCACGGTTTGTACTTGCTTTAAGTGACACTTAGACACGGACACTTCCTGTCACTGCCACGATGTGGAAAATCCCTGTTGCTTACTGCGAATCAAAGACAATCATACCAAACAAACAAATAGTGCAAGAAAATCAAGCTGGGGGTGGTGGCACACACCTGTAATCCTAACACTTGGGAGGCAGAGGCAGGAGGATCGCGGTGAGCTGGAGACCAGCCTGGGCTACACAGAGAGTTCAAGGCCAGCTCGCACTACTTATCACAACCTTGTCTCAAAAAAAAGAAAGAAAGAAAGAAAGAAAGAAAGAAAACAAAGATACTAAATTAAACTGTTTACATGGTGGGCCCAATTTATGCTGGCTGTCCTCATAAAAAAGGAAACGCGAAAGGGTCAAAGGAACCTGGGGGTGGTGGCATCTGTCTAACCCCAGCACTCAGGAGGCTGAAGCAGGAGGATCAGGAGTTTGAGGCCAGCCGGGGATACATAGCAAGACCCTGTCTCAAACCCCTCCCCCTAAAAAAAAAAAGAAAGAAAAATAAAGAAAATGTCAGAGGGATGTTAAGGACATACGCTGGCTCCATCTGGGACTTGCTCCTAGACTTGAAGGTTTTGTTTTGTTTTCTGTCTTTTTGAGACAAGATCTCGATATGCATGCAGCTCAGGCTGGCCTTGAGCTCACTTTGTAGCCCAGGCTGGTCTCCAACTCACAACGATCTTCGCGCGGATCTTCGTGCGGGCGAGCGCCACCACGCCCAGCTTCCTAGACTTGAATGAAAAGAAAGAAAAGACAGCCAAGTGTGGTGCTGCAAGCCTGGGAAGCTGAAGCAGGAGGATGGCAAGTTAGAACCCAGACTGGGCAAATCAGTTGAGACCCTGACTCAGAATCTTAAAAACGACTGGTGATGTAGCTCAGTGTGAGCGTCCTGGGTTCAATCCGCAGTTATAAAAAAAAAACAAGGGGAGTCGAAGGCTCTCCCCAAACATCCCTCCATCCTTCCTCTTTGGGGAAAACTCCCTCCCCGGGAGGGTGCTCCTCCGCCCCGCCGCCGGCCGGGAAGCAGGGCGGGGCGGGCGTTCTGATCGCCCATTGGGCCTCTCGCCGGCTCATTTGCATGACCCGAGCGACGGGGCGGGGTGGCGGGTGACGTCACGCGGGGAAATGCCTGAGCTGCGCCGGGCAGCCCGGAGCTGGCAACGCTGCTCCCGCGGATCCGAGCGGCGCCAGCTCCTCGCGCCCCGCGCGCTCCCTTGCCATGTACGACCCGGAGCGCGGCTGGAGCCTGTCCTTCTCGGGCTGCGGCTTCCTGGGCTTCTACTACGTGGGGGCAACGCGCTGCCTGAGCGAGCGCGCCCCGCACCTCCTGCGCGACGCGCGCATGTTCTTCGGCTGCTCGGCGGGGGCGCTGCACGGGGTCACCTTCCTGGCGGGGGTCCCGATCGGTGAGTCCGGGGCCCCGGGCTGTGGGGGCGCTTGCTCGGCCGCAGGCCGGGCTGCCGGGTTGCACGCGCACGGACCGACGTCGCCCTCGCGGTCCCATCGCCCCTCGCAGGGCGCGAGAAGGCGCGGGAACTCCGGGCCGCACGGGCGGGAGCTGGGCTTCTGGGGTCCGGGATGTTTGCGCCTCCCCGCAGGAGGGGACCCCCCAAGGGAGCTCTCAGCCCCAGGACAAAGCTGGGTCGTCCCAGTGCGACGAGGAGGGGGCGGGACCCTGGGTGCAGGAGCTCAAGGTGATGCTGGTCCCTGCGTTCTGAGCCTCAAGACACCGGATGCGCTTGGCGTGTTTGTGTGTGCGTGTAGTACTGGGGATGGGATCCAAGGCCTTCACACTGAGCTAGATGCTCAGCCCTCTCCACCCCTTTTATTTATTTATCTATTTATTTTTGAGATAAGGTCTCTCTGTGCAGTTCAGGCTGGCCTTCGCCTCACTTTGTAGCCCAGGCTGCATCCCTTTTATTTTATTTTTTTGATTTTTAATTAGTTGCGGAGCGTGGTAATGCATGCCTATAATCCCAGCACTTGGGAGACTGAGGCAGGAGGAGCCCGGGAGTTCCAGCCCAGCCTGGGCTATATAAGTGAGCTCAAAGCCAGCCTGCACTATATAGTGGGACGCTGTCTCAAAAAAATTTTTTTTTAAATTTATTATTTTGAGACAGTCTTGGTAAGTCTCGAAATTGCCCCGGCTGGGCTCAAACTCATGATCTTTCAGCCTTGTTTTGGTCATGGCCAGCACTCTTGGGGCTACCCTTCAGCAGCCTCCAAGGCAGACCCCCCAGGGAAGGGATGCAGGATAGAATGTTTCCTTCTCCTCCCCTCCTTCTCCCTCCCTGGGCCCTCCCTGGGGGCTGGCTTAGACCCGTGGACCTCCGCTCCCCCATCTTCTCCAGCCCTCCGGTGCCCAGCTCAGGGTCCCTGACATAGAGGTCCTGGAAATTTGATTCTTGGCCTAATTAAACATTTGTCCATGTGGCAGGGAAGGGAGGATGGGGTTTTTCTCCTTTACCCAAACTACCAGCCTGTGGCGCCTTTCCCAGGGCCCCAGGTGCGATAGCCCGGGGGTTCTGAGCCAGCTGGCTGTGGCAGCAGGGAGCTGGTGGCACCCAAAGGTCCGCAGGCAGGATGAGAGTGCCTCCTTCAGTTTTTGTTTACCTGGGCTGCTTTTGCTGTTTGCTCTTGGCTCTGCCTGCCAAGCCAGCAGGGAGTGACTTTGGCAGTACTGGAGAAGCCACCACGCATCAGCAAAGCTCTGCCATTGGGTGGGACCCGTGAGCTCACCCTGGCCTGACCGGATTTGGGATTAGGAGAGTCCGCCCTGGCCCGTTGCCAGCCCGCTGTCTTCCCCAGCAAGGGAGAGAGGAGCAAAGGGCAGAATGTGTCGCCTCTGGGAGGATTCAACTGGCGGTCTGCACACCGTGGGCTTTAGCAATGATAAAAGCCGCTCTGGTGTCCCGGGGTAGCCTCCAGGCACCACATGGCCAGGTGCTGAGCTGAGACAAGGTTGCAGTGCCCCAAGCCTGAGAGCACCAACTGCTCCAGAGAGGCGCTTCCCACGTGGGCAGAGGGCAGGTGCAGCCTGAGGCTGTGTTGGGCAGGACTTGGGCAGACACACGAGCCACCAGGTGCCAGGGAAAGGGGATCGCAGGTGTCAGGAGCAGGAGCCACTCCCTGTGTTGCTCCAGAAGCCTTGGGTTCCTTTTTGATCCCTGTCTCCTGGGAGCTGAGTAGCATTTCCCTGGGGCTGTGACTTGAGCATAGGTCCTCAGGGCATCTGAGCAAGGGCTGGACTTCGCAGAGAGATGGCAGAATCTGCCAGCAGGTGCAGATTCTCCCTGGCCTGGCTCAGTTGGTGGGCGGGAACCGCAGGGAACCAGGTCAGAGCCAGATCAGGACAGGCTGGGGACGTGTCTGTCTTCGTGCAGCCCAAGATCGATGGCTGGCTGGAGCTGGGCTGGGCAAGGCGGGCTCGTGTGCCAGAGCCGGGCTGGGAGACCAGTGGCGGGGGGTGTGACGTGCCCATCACATGGTCTGGTTCAGTGTGGCACTAGGGGCTTGAGGTGGAGATTATTTATCGGCAGCTTCTATGTGGAGCACCTTACAGGTTACATTTTGCCTCATCCTCTCTGCCTCTAAAATGTGGGTAAACCTTTCTTTCCTTTTTGCTTTCTTTTTCTTTTCTTTTTTGAGGCAGGGCTTCACTACGTAGTCCAGACCAGCCTTGAACTTGCTTATATGGGCCAGGCTGGCCTCAAACTCAAGGGGATCCTCCTGCCTCAGCCTCCCAAGTGCTGGGATTACAGATGTGCACCACCACACCTGGCGCATATGGGGGTAAATCTTAACCTACATGACAAACTGAGGTCCAAGTGTGTTTTTTCTCCTGTACCCCATGATGGTAAGACCTTCTGTGCCAAAGCTGTGGTCCCGCCATGTTCCTGGCTTTGTGACACACAGCCAGGGTGCTCTCTTAGGCTTCATCTCAGAGCCGAGGCCAGTGAAAATTTACCCCAAGCCATGCATGTCATTTCTCATTTCCTTTTTGCTGGATTGACTAAGACACATGGTGAAATTAGTGTCATTGAGCCCACTATACCTCCAATATTATTTTCACATCTAATCAATACAGATCATTGTTGATCACCTGCTTCCTGCTAAGCTTTTTTTTTTTTTTTTTTGTTGGTTGGTTGGTTTTTTTCCAGTACTGGGAATCGAACTCACGACCTTGCGCTTGCCAGGCAGGCGCTTTGCCACTGAGCTAAATCCCCAGACCCCCTGCTAAGCTTTTGAAGTGCAGGGTGTATTTTACACACTTCAGGGCGGACTAGCTCCAGGCCAAGGGCTCCAGGGCTGCGGGTGGCTACTGCGTCCTTATGCACAGGCCCAGAAGCAGCTGTGCAACCTCCTGGCTTCTGGTCTTGCCAAAAGCATCCCTCGTCTCACAGAGGTGTCTTCTTTTGTGTATGTCTCCTGTCCCCAGATCGGACTCTCCAGCTGCTCATGGACCTCGTGCGAGAGGCCAGGGGGCGGAACATGAGCACCCTCCACCCGAACTTCAACCTGTGCAAGCACCTGCGGCAGGGGCTCGAGGAAGTCCTCCCGGACAACGTGCACCAGATCATCTCCGGCAAAATCTGCATCTCACTCACCAGAGTGTCCGATGGGGAGAACGTGCTGGTGTCTGATTTCCAATCCAAAGAGGAAGTCGTGGATGTAAGCTGTTTTTTCGCTGGGTGTCTGGGTATTGTGGAGTAAAAAAGCAGCACAAGGGATTGTCGAAGGCCCTACAACTCGCGTGATACAAGGTCTGCATGTCCTGGTGTGTGTCAACCCAGACAGCCCTCCGACGTGCTTAATGCCAGCCCTGTTCTTTCAATTTCAAGTAATTCTTTCCCTTCTTTAGGACTCAGCTTGGGATCAGCCTGTCCAGGGGAAACTGTTGTGGGTGTGCCCCTTACCTCAAGCTGTTCCGTTTGTAAGGAGGAGGCCTTCCTCTCCTGGGCCTCTGTTCTTAGTGTCTGGGAAAGATAAAATAGTTTGCAATATCAAAAATATCATTTAAGACTGGGTGTGGTGGTGCACGCCTGTAATCCCAGCACTGGGAGGCTGAGGCAGGAGGATTGCCATGAGTTTCAGGCCAGCCTGGGCTCCATAGTGAGTTCCAGACTAGCCTGAACTACATAGTGAGACCCTGTCTCAAAAAACAAAAAATAACAACAACAGAAGTAAACAAAGAAGAAGAGCTGGGCATGGTGGTGCACGCCTGTAATCCCAGCACTCGCCTGTAATCCCAGCTCTCGCCTGTAATCCCAGCTCTCGGGTGGCTGAGGCAGGAGGATCATTGCGAGTTGGAGACCAGCCTGGGCTACCAAGTGAGCTCAAGGGCAGCCTGAACTGCACAGCGATACCTTGTCTCAAAAAGACAAAACAGCGAAGAAGAGGTCCTTGGAGGAATGACTACATTTTACTAACCATAGATTTTTACCAGGATGATGCCTGGCACAGATAACCAACAGCACCACAGCCAGTGTCCTCCTGTCTGTCTTTGCCCCTGGAAGCTTTCTCCAGACAGCCAGCACCTGTCCGTGCCTACCTACATCCACTCCCCCCCGGGAACTCACATGTGTCCTGCACTGTGCTTCTGAAGTATGGTCCAGTTCCTGGGGACTCTCACAAGGACAGCACTGGTCCTCTAGCCCCATGCAGCCACCAAGCCTACGCTGCATGGCGCCTCCATCCCATCTGTGACAACCGATCCTGGCTATCCTGGGGAGCATGGGCAGGAGAGTGGGGTGTGCTGTGAGGGTGAGGAGCTTAGTCTGCTGATCAGACCCCCGGGCCTCAAGGACAAGTGCGGAAGTTGGCTCGCAGTCTACTCCGCCTGCATAAGAGCACCGACTGTGCGCAGGAGCGTTTTCACGTAGCTCCTGGATCATTCAGGGAAGGCTGAGGGGCCTGGGAAGTTCGAAGACAGGGGCTCGGGCTGCAGCCTGACTTCCTTTTGTCTCCACAGGCCTTGCTGTGTTCTTGCTTCATTCCTTTCTTCTGTGGCTTAATCCCTCCGACCTTCAGAGGTGTGGTAAGTTCACCTTGGTGGCAGCTGGCGCTGAGTCACAGGGGCCTTTTTTGAAGCGTGGCAGCCTGGCTTCTCCCTGCAAGGTGGGAGGTCCGGGGACCCCTGGGCCGTGTGAGCCTCGTAGCTCTCAGCCTTACAGACAGAACCATCGCTGGGCCAGCTTCCAAGCAGCCTGGGCAGCAAGACCCAGTCCCTGTGCAGTGAATCACTTCTGTCCGTGAGGCACACCTGCCGGTTCACGCAATCCACATATGAGCACCGCAGGGAGCTTCCCAGCTGGCCAGTTCAGGAAGCTTAGGCATCTATTATTCATGTGAGGTAGGGCTGTCTTGTGAGGGAAAGGTGTAACCGTCACGTATTTTCTAACAGAAACAAAACTGTGTGTCTGGCCTTACACAGGCCTTTGCGTTGTTTTGTTTTGCTGCTTTGCAGGGCATAAGCCCAGTGGGGCTGTCCAGTCCTCACCTTTTTTTTTTTCATTCCTTGCCTTTTGAAGTCCTTTTTGAGCAGGCAAGACAGTCACAGAATAACTGATAAAATCATCCAGCAGCAGAGGCAGCAGGAGTCGCGTGTAGGAGCTACCTGCTTGGGTGTCCATAGTGGAGGGGAGGGGGCGGCTGTTGCTCTCTGCTGCCCCCATCAGGCAGGACATGTGTGGTGCGCTGCAGCACTGCTTTTATCCTCTGGAAGCCGAACGAGGCCCGGGAATGACCTAAGCACGCTTGGTGGCAGGTGTGGCCCGCTGTTCTGTCAGTGGCAAGGAAGACTAAGGTCCGAAGCCATGAAAGCATCGGGCTCCGCTCAACACAGCAGTGTGGCGCTTGAGACGTGCTTCCCTTCTTTTTTTTTTTGGTTTTTCTCCGGTACCGGGAACCGAACCCACGACCTTGCGCTTGCCAGGCAGGCGCTTTTGCCGCTGAGCTAAATCCCCAGCCCGACGTGCTTCCCTTCTGAGACAGATTTTGCCAAATGGGGCTCCATAGCCACGCAGCGTGGCTGACATGCAGGTCGCATGTGACGAGCTTAGCACAGAGCCTGGCCTGGGGCCTTGGGGAGGGTGAGCTTCTTCACTGTCACCGCATCGTCATCGGTCTCTTCTTCCGGCCTGGGGACACAGCCAGCGATGGGTTGATCGCTAAGTTAGCAGACACAGCAGAGGCACGGTCACTCCTGTGCCCTCCTGGGAGCCTTGCTGGAAACTAGGTCACATCCCCCTGATCCTCAGCCTGAGCAGGCTTAGGCCATTGCCACAGAAAAGCTCGAGGGCTGGCATTCGGCTCAGTGACAGAGGAATGCCTGGGGCACGCGGATTGGCTGGATCCCAAGCCCAGCGCCGCCTCCAGAGAATTCTAAGTGGAGGAGAACAGTGACAGCAACTGACCAGACTCACCCTCCTCCGTCTTCTCTGAAGAGTCCTGACTGTATTTTTATTTCTTGTTGGTAGTGGGGATCCAACCCAGGGGTGTTCCACCCCTAAGCTACATCCCCAGCCTTTTTGATTTTTTTTATTGTGAGACTGAGTCGTGCTAAATTTCCCAGGTGGGACTCCAACTTTTGGTCCTCCGCCCTCAGCCTCCCTGAGTGCTGGGATGACAGGCGCGCACTGCTACCCCTGGCTGGGGTTCCAGACATTATATTCCATGTCCCTTTGTGCCCTTGAGGCTTTTGCTGTCTTACTGTGTCCGCCATAGAAATCTTGATAACGCAGCTGGGCACCCACCTGACCTGTTCCAGACCCAGGGTGAGCATGTCTTGGTGGCTGAGGTGTAGCTGAAGGTGGCCGCTTCTCTTTGGGGCTCCTCTGGAGCTGTGCGGTGCTCTGGGGTGTCCTTATCCAGAGGGGCTGGCGGCAAGGTCCTTGAAATTCTCTTGATGTCCTCCCTCCTGAGAGCCCGGCAGCAGGGCTGGGGCTGGGGCTGGGTCCAGACCCTGGCTGCTGGGTACAAACACACTATACCTAGTCTGCTCCTGCTTGGGTGTGGGCGGGAATGTGATTGCTGAAGGACACAGATGAACTTTAACTTGTCTTAAGAATAACTTAGCCTTCCCAGCCAGTCGTGGTGGCTCACGCCAGCACTGGGGAGGCTGAGGCAGGAGGATTGTTGTGAGTTCCAGGCCAGCCTTAGCTACAAAGTGAGTTCAAGGCCAGCCTGAAGTACATAGTGAAACCCTGTCTCAAAAAGACAAAAAAAGGGGCTGGGGATTTAGCTCAGTGGCAAAAGCGCCTGCCTGGCAAGCGCAAGGTCGTGAGTTCGGTTCCCGGTACCGGAGAAAAACCAAAAAAAAAAAAAAAAAAAAACAAGAAAAAAGGAGTAACTTAGCCAAGTACCACCTCCTTGTGGGAGATTTTCTAGGTCCCGGGTTCACTGATTTAGTCTCAAGACCCCTTCAGGTTGTTGGTTCTCCTTTCCAAGGTGTGGCAGGAAAGAGGCTCCTGGGTTAAATATCTTGTCCCAGATTTTCCTAGAGCAGAAGGGTTCTGGATACGAACCCCTGGCCTTAGGACCTGACCAGAAAAACGTGGGCTGTGCCCCAGCCTCCATCGGCCTTGTTGCCAGCCGTGTGCACATTCTACACAACAGTACACAGCGCTCCCAAAGGCCGGTGTGTGCAGCCGGGTCTCCCCCACTACAGAAATGCGTGGTGAGGATTTGTTGAGAGAGTGATTCCTGAACTGTCATCCTCCCACGGCTCTGTAAATCCTCCGCTCGCAGTTCTGAAAACGCACTAGCCGCCCGCCCAGAGCTGCGGGCAGTAGCAGCCCTCTGTTCCCTCCTTTGAAGCGATACGTGGATGGAGGTGCGAGCAACAACCTGCCAGTCCTGGACTCCCAGACGACCATCACGGTGTCCCCGTACTACGGGGAGTACGACATCTGCCCTAAGGTCAAGTCCACGAACTTCCTCCACGTGAACATCACCAACCTCAGCTTGCGCCTGTGTTTGGAGAACCTCTACCTCCTCTCCAAGGCCTTCTTCCCCCCCGATGTCAAGGTGAGTCGGGGGCTGTGGGGTGCCGGGGCTGCCTGCCCGCCTGTGTGCGCAGAGCTGTGGGCCGCTCTGTACAGACAGAGAGCCCTTGGCGCTGGCAGTGAGGGTTAACTCCAAGAGAAGCTCTTGTTCGGAGAGCTCGGGGACTGCCGCCTGGTCCCAGGTATCACTTGGGGTCATGCAGGCAGAGCTGAAGCCCTGAGGCCTTCCAGGGACAGGGCTTGACGTAGTTGGGGTTGCAGCCCGTGTATCCAGGGTTTGCTCTCCGCAGTGCTGGGGGTCAAATCCAGCGCCTTGCGTGTGCTAAGCAAGTGCTCTGCTGCTGAGCTATACGCCCAGCCCAAGAATTTTGATATTTTGTCTCAGTTACCAACATAATTCTGACTTGCAGCTGCGGTCAGCAGCCCCACAGCTGGACATGGTGGTGCATGCCCGCAAAACCACCCTGAGAGGCTGAGTCAGGAGGGTTGCCAAGTTTAAGCTCAAGCTGGGCTACTTAGCAAGGTCAAGGCTCAAGGCCAGCCTGGACTACATAGCGAGACGTGTCTCAAAAAGAACAAAACTAATCAAAAGAGCCCCCCACTTGGCGCTTACCCCTGAGTGTTGTTTCTGTCACTGTAGCAGCATAAGAATGGGGAGCAGGTTGTGCCACCGACGGTGGTGTCCCGGGGACAGAGACGCCAGGGCCATAGCACGGCACTCACTAAGTACCCCGTCCACATCTCCGCTCCCCTAGATGCAAAGAGGAGGCAGCTGTCACTGTCCAGGTGACAAACAGAACAAGCGATGAAATTTGCTAGGGTGGTGGCTTGTCCCCGGCCCAAGGGAGTCCGGAGAGACCAGGCCTGCCCACGATCTCAGAGGCAGGTGACATCCGAGTGGGACCCCGAGCCTCTGCTTTCTCTGGTGCCATGATCGGCACACCCAGGTGTCTGGCGGGCATCCCGTGCCTGGCATCGGTGGTGACCAGAGTGATTTACCCACAGGTGATGGGAGAGATCTGCCTGCGAGGCTACCTGGACGCTCTCCGGTTCCTGGAGGAGAACGGTGAGTCCGGGCTCACGCCCACGGTCCAGCTGCCGCCTGTGGTCTGGGAACGTGGCAGCCCTAAGTTCTATCCCTCGTTGCCTAACGCCTTCCTGTCCTGTGTTGCTTCACTCTCCTCTCAGCCCCGGCCAGAGGAAATCTCTGCCCCGTTTTATGACCTGGACGGGGCCCTGCGGTTGGGTCAGAGTGTCCCCACTTCGCTTTTCTTTCTGCTGAGCTCTCAGGAGCCTTTAGCTTATCACGGGCCAAGGTTAGACAAGTCCTGGAACAGGCTCCAGGTGAAGCAGACCAGCTGCTGTCCCGCCCAGGCCTGGCCACGTCCCGCGGCTGGTTGGTTCTGCTTCCCAGCAGATGCCCGCCTCTGAGCCCTCCTTGCTTGCCTCCGGGGCAGCACCGGGTGGAGACATCGTCACATGCTGTGTCACGTGCGTCATGGCGCTATGGCCAGGGGGCTGTGTAGACCGCAGTGACCCCATGAGACTGCAGTGCCAGGTGCCACTGCAGCCAGTCTGTGATCACAGTGATGAGCTCCCCTCCTGTGGGTTGCTGAGTGACCCGCAGCTTATCCTGGCAGAACCAGATCTCAGGTGTGTGGGAACTGTTTGCCTTTGGTTGGTTGATGTGTTGGGGCTTTGAATTAGTCTGTGGCCAGGACCAAAGTGATGCCGTGTTCAGAGGACATGTGTGTGGGCCCTTGGTGCCCCTCCTGGGTGCCCAGCTGGGGGCTGTGTGCTAGGGACACGGTGGTGAAGGAGGAGGTGCGCTGTGCTGGCCTTGGGGGAGCAGAGAGTAGACAGAAGGACAGGGCTGGGGACCGGAAGAGGCAGGTACTGTGGGACCCTGCAGCAGAGGGCGTGAGCCAACAAGGAGGCACAAGAAGGAGCCTGGAGCCTGGGGGCGGGGGACATGGGAGCTGCAGGTCCCCGTGCCCTGTGTGTCACACAAGGGTGGACGAGAGAAGGTGGGAGTGGGGCTGGCTGGGCCTTGCGGACCTGGGGAGGGGTTCGCATCTTGCAGCAGTGGGGAGCCGTTGAGGGCCCTGAAGCAGGAGCCAGGTGGGTAAGAGGAGAGCCCGTCTGGCTCTAGTGCGGAGACGGCAAGAGCAGGAGCTGGGTGTGACAGCGGCACCTGTGCTCCCAGCCACTCAGGAGGCTGAGGCAGGAGGACTGCTGGAGCCAGGAGTTGCAGGCCAGTGTAGGAAATGGGATGAGAGCCTGTTTCTAGAGCAAATAGAAAAAGAGAGGGCAAGACCAGCATCCAGGAAGCAAGTGAGATATCCGGGCCAGGCGGGGATTCAGATGCAAACTGATCTGGAGGGACTTGGAAAGGATCCTGGGGAGATTTGGGAGGAGGACGCCTGGGGCACGGGTAGATGGGCTGCGCTCTGTGGCTGGGGACCGGGGCAGGGCGCCACTCTCTGGAAGCGGACCCCTCGGTTGGGGGTGTGAGGGGTGGCGGAGCAGAGGCCCGGGGGACCAGGGAGGTCCTGGGTGCCTCGGGAAGAGTGCAGTAGTCCATGGACTTTCTCCCAAGGCGGCAAGCCCCGTCCATCGGGGGTCAGGGCCGGGTCCCGCCGAAGGACAGGGCACACAGAGTGCACCGAGCCACCTCACGGCTTCCCTGTAGCCCCCTGAGGCCTCCGACGCCGGTCCTGGCTGGGCCGCCTTCTAGCTGTGTGACTCTGGCGAAAGCCCTGGACCTCTCTGTGCTGATTCCCGGATCGGGATATGGAGATGGTATGAATGGTAGCAGTTGAGTGGCCGCTGTCAGGTCTGCCCGCCCAGGACTCAGCTCAGGGCCTCGAATGCAGGTGGGACCCATGGTGCAGCTGTTTAAGTCAGTTATAATTCTTGTCTGTCACCATACGCGTCAGAGGCAGGATGAACCCATACAGTGCCCCGGGGCTACCTCTGTGCAGCTGCACGGCCCCCACTCTTCTGCCTGCTGCAGATTCCGGCCCTGGCCTTACCCTAGCCCTGGTGTCTGGGGAACCACGGGCTGCATTGGTTTCCGTCCCGTGTCCCTTCCTGGACCCTTCCTGGGTGAGTGTGAGGCTAGGAACAGGAGCCGGCTCCCGAGTCCCCCATTTCCTGTTTCCCACCCCTCCCCAGGCATCTGCAGTGGGTCCCAGCCCTGCCTGCCGTTCCCCAAGGAAGAGCCGGAGCTGGAGGTCTCAGCGCCCGGCCGGGAAGACCCGGGCTCGGGGCCTGCCGAAGGCGATGAGCTGCTGGACCACCTGCGCCTCAGTTTCCTGCCCTGGGACGAGCGCATCCTGGATGTGCTGTCGCCCCGGCTCACTGCAGGTACAGGCGCTCACCGCAGGTGCAGGAGCTATACAGGCGCTGGAGGCTCCGCCCTGTGCATCATGGGAAGGGGGCACGATCGTGGGGAGGGGGGTGCAGAGGGGCAGGGACACCCAGGTGTGCTGCAGGTGCCACCTCCTGGCATGGTGCTCCTGGCCGCCCATCCCTGTACCTTCTAGGCCTCCCTTCCCTTCCACCGGGTCCTGATCAGGAGGGACACAGAGCTCCCACCCCAGCACTACAAGGAAAAAAGGAGCTGGGGTTCCAGGACGAAGGTGGACCCCAGCTCGCATAATCAGCGGTGGTTGAGAAGTTCAGTGCCCTTCTAAACAGATTTGTCTGTAAGAGACTAACTGTTAACTGGGAAACCTGTGTTCCCCAAGCAAGGCGCTGGACTGACCCCAGGGCCTTTGCACTGAGCTACATCCCCATGCCTTCTTAACATTTTTAAAAACAGAGTCCTAGCCGGGCGTGGTGGCACACACCTATAATCCCAGCACTAGGGAGGCTGAGGCAGGAGGATCACTGTGAGTTTGAAGCCCGCCTGGGCTACAAACTGAGCTCAAGGCCAGCCTGAACTGCATAGCGAGACCCTGTCTCAAAAAGGAAAAAAAAAAAAAAAGCAAAAACCAGAGTCCTGCTAAGTTGGTAAATTGCCCAGGTTGGGCTCAAACTTTCCATCCTCCTGCCTCAGCCTCCCAGAGTGCTGGCATGGTCTAGTACTCTGTGCTGGTGGGAGACAAATCTCCAAAATGTTTTCTCAGCTGTGAAGAAAGCAATGAAAGACCCAGGCGGCTTCCTGAGCAAAGTCCGCAACTCGCTGCCTGTCAGGATCCTGTCCTACGCGATGCTGCCCTGCACGCTGCCCGTGGAGTCCGCGATCGCCACTGTCCACAGGTGAGCACAGCGTGCTGCTCGAGGTCCCCTCGAGCTGGGACAGGGACCGGGTGGGCAGGCACCTGGAAGGCCCCAGTGTGGGCACCTGCTGTGTGGACAGCAGGTACCCTCTGGTCCTCAGAGCCACCAGCAACTAGAGAGGGCGGTTATTGTGTTACTATTACCCCTTAGTCACTGTAGACTGATCAGGCCCGCAGTCTCCCAAGGCTTAAATGAAAGAGTCAAGTGGTTTGATCCTTGGGCTCCGAGAGGTGCAAAGCCCTCTAACAGAATTCGAGATTCTGGGAGGCTAAGACCGAGACCTTCCTTGGGTGGCCTGTGTTTGTTTAGTTATCAAAACAAGGCGGGGAATACTGAAGAAAGGCGGGACTCTGCCTTGAATGCCAGGGCCCTCCAAGGACCTTGGAAGTGTGCTCAAGGGCTTCTCCAAGTAAGGTACTATGTTAATTTAGGAGAGCGGTGTTGACTCCAGGAAGCTCTCCACGCAGGAGTAAGACGGCTGCAGCTACGGTCTTTATCTAGTAATAGAGGTTGGAGCCAGGCGTCCTTAGCTGTGGCCTTGTCTTGTCCTTGGAGGTATCATGGCTTCGCCCACCATTACAGGCCTCAGCTGGAACCAGTGACTCACAAGTAAACACGGAAAGCCAGTTGGTTAATTTAAGTCCTGCTCAGAGCTGCTTTGTAGTGGTCTCCATCAGGCAGTGGCCACACACAGCATCTAGCGCAGCCCCTCGTGGTCTCCTGGGGAAACTGAGACCTGGAGAGGTTGAGGTCAGAGCTCCGAGGTCACTGAGCTGACAAGAATGAAGGCCAGGCCGGGAAGTAGGGTCTTTGCTACCACTCAAGCTGGTTTTCCTTTTATTTATTTGTTATTTTAATTTTTGGTGATGCTGGGGATCAAATTCAGGGCCTTGTGCATGCTAGGCTAGCACTTGGCTATGGAGCTACATCCCAGACCTCTATTTTATTTTATGTTGTTTGGGTTTTTTGAGACAGTCTCACTACATAGTTCACGCTGGCCTCGAACTTGCAGTGAGTGATCCTCCTGCCTCAGCCTCCCAAGTGCTGGGATTACAGGCATGCACCACCACACCTGGCACTACTTTCTTTTTTAGCAAGTAAATGTAGTACATTTCTGGGCATGGTGGTGCACACGTGTAATCCCAGTTGTTTGAGAGGTTGAGGCAGAAGGATCACAAGTTCAAGGCCAGCCTGGGCAACTTAGTGAGACCGTCTCAAAAAGGAGAAAGAAAAACCAAGAATGGCCTGCTGGGATGTAACTCAGTAGTAGTGTGCCCTTTTGATCATTTCCCGGTACTACAAATCACCATCATCATCACCACCATGATCATGATGATGATGATCATCCGCTAGCACGCCCCTCCCCTCCCCTCCCACGGCTCTTGGTGAGCCCCCCAGGCTCTGTGTGCACCCCTCCGGCACCAGCCACTTCCTCCCTACACCGCCCGCTGGGGCAGGCTCCTCCCTGTGTCTGAGGACAGGAAGTGTGCGGGGGCCATGCCCACCCCACCACCCCCTACTGGCCTTGCACGCGCTCAGCGGGGTGTCTGACCCAAGCGCTCCCCACAGAGCCGGGTGACCCGGAAACGGAAAGACGAGGCCTTTCTCGTTCATCGCCTTGACGCCCCTCAAGCTGTCTGGAGCCACACGTGGCCTCACTTTGCTTTAGGGACCCAGCTGGGCTCAATCTTGCAGACCACCCCAGATCCGCCTTCTGGGAGCGTGTGGCATTGGCATGAGAGGGGTTGTGGACAGCTCCCCTGGCCTGGGGGTGCCACTCATTGCAAGGCGGCTGCTTTGGGTTTACTTTTTTGTTTGTTTGTTTTTTGTTTTTTTCCGGTACGGGGAATCGAACTCACGACCTTGCGCTTGCCAGGTAGGCGCCGTGCCGCTGAGCTAAATCCCCAGCCCCTGGGTGTACTTTTGTTTTGCTCATTTCTGTGTGTGTGTGTGCGTGCGTGCACGTGCGTGTGCGCACACGTGCAGTGGTCTTGGTTTCCCTCCCGCAGACTGATGGTATGGCTCCCGCACATGCCTGATGACATCCAGTGGCTGCAGTGGCTGACATCCCAGGTCTATGCCCGTGTGACCACGTGTCTGCACCCCACTTCCAGGTGAGTAACAGGGGTGTGGCGGGCCCGAGGGACACCTGGATCCTGTCCGGCCTCACACAGGCTCCAGAAATCTCCGAGACGCCTATGACCCGGGCTACCTGCCTGTCCCTGTGTCCCTGGGGGCCCAGTGTGGGTGGGGAGAGAGCTGCGTGACGGGACGGGGGAGAACACCGTGGGTGGAGGGGTGGGGGACAGGCCAGGAGCCCAGCACGGGGCCACAGGGCTGTCACTGCTGTTACTGGCGGGCATGGAACGACGGTGAAGTAGGGGAGCCTAGGTGCAGCTCCCTGGGAGGTGACCGAGGGCCGTGGGTGGGCAGGCCCACCGGCCAGGCAAGGACAGGTGGGGCCAGGCTCAGCCAAGTCTGTGGGGCCGTGAGGCTTCCCGCCGTGCGCTGTTAGGGGACAGCGATGCCAAGGTGGCAGTGCTGGGGCACTGGTGGGCAACAGCCCTGTCAGGTGAGAGACATCTGCTGATGGCCAGGGGGAGGCGTCCAGGGGCAAGGAGGTCCCTGCGGCTCTGGGCAGGGCCCCTGCCGTGCGCAGTGTGTGTGATGACACCAGGCGGTGCGCCTGAAGTGTCCAGGGTCACGGGAAGGGCCGCCAAGCCCGCCTCTTTCGTTTCAGGTCCCGGATGCCAGCAAGCAGCCAACGCGCTTCCCCACGCACCCCGGAAGGCGGATCTGCAGGCTTGTAGACTGTGGGTGGCCAGGAGGGGGCACCCCAGCCTGGCTCCAGCCTGCCCCTCCGCTGGACAGCATCTTAGGGGAGGGACCCGCCCTAGTGCTTTCCCAGAAAGGGATTTTGGGGTCCCCTGAGGAGGCATCCAGGAGCCCTTCCTGAGGTGCTGAGCCGTCTCTTCGTGGTGCAGCTGTCCCAGCCCTGCTGTTAGTGAGCTGAGGGTCCCAGCCTCTTCGCTAAATTGGTTCATCCCTTACCCAAAGGCGATGGCTTTGGCTGTGGGCAGCTGGGAGTCTGTGCTCATGCAGCTGTAGTATTTAGGCCCCAGTTGGCTCCGTTGGTTGGGCCATGTTACCAGGAAGCCTGGCACAGAGACTCTGATGGCCGTCTGCGTTCCACAGCCTGCTTGTGGCTGGGCGGGACCAAGCACTGCCCGGGTGCCGAAGACAGCAGGGGCCATGAGCCCTGAACTCGCTCAGGCAGCCAGCAGGGCAGGGGACCAGATGTGGTCATCACCACGGAGGCCCCTCCTGTCGTTGGCATTAAGATGGTGATAACTTAGCTGTATACCTAGCACCCTTTGGACATAGCTAAAATACTTTTTTAAAGCGTTTTGTAATAACATGCAAGGGAATAGCTGGTGAGTTATGAATATTGTGAATTCGTGAGATACCTGAAGAGAAAGCCTTAAAATAACACCTATTGCGGGGGTAACGGGCGCCCTGGCCTATCCGGGCAGGAGCCAAATAGCACAGAAACTTCTGCTTTCTTTCTTTCTTTCACAGCCGTTGCTATGAACTTGGCTTAAGTTCTGCCAGCTTCCGGCCTGGGTTCTTTTCTCTGTCTGCATCTCCCCACACCGTGGTCCCTCACTCTGCCAGCCTTAATGGAGACACACGCTTGAGGTGAGGCCCATCTTCTTCCCAGGAGCAGGACACATTTGAGTGTAGCTACAGAAAAGAAAACGACCCGCTCAGACTCCTCCATGTTGGCAGAGTTAAACTCGCCTCCACCAGCTGCGCCAGCCTCCAAGCTGCAGGTTCAGACAAGCACTTTACTAAGATGGTGCGCCCTGGAAGAGAGGGTGTGGTTCTAGAACCTGCCTGGCCTGTTCTCTGCAGGTCCTGGAGCTCGCTCCTGAAAATGGGCTTGAACCCAACTCCCTCTCCTCAGGGTGGGCAGGGAGCTTCCCCGCCTCCGGCCTGCGGAACTGGCTTCCTAAGTGAGGAAGGCCAAGGCATGGGGCACTCTCTCCATCACCTGTCCCAGGCCTGGCCCCTGGCTGTGGCCCTAGGAGAGCTGGGATGGGCTGGCAGAGGCCTCATCCGACATCCGTGTGGCCAGCCCTCGTCCTTTGCCAAGTTTCCCCCTAGGAGTTCTGTTAGAGCTGCTGAAGGGCTGGCCTTGCCCTGGCAGATGTAGCCCAGCCTGAGTAATACTTAACAGATAGAACAGGTCATACACTGGCTCTGGGTTCTTACCAGGAAAGCCCTCCCATGGCTGACTGGATTGCATGGGGCTTATTTCTACCCACTTTTTCAAAATTCTTTTTCACCCTTCTTTTTTTTAAAATTTGACTTTTATTTTTTCAGACAGGGTCTCACTGTGCAGTTCAGGCTGGTCTTGAGCTCACTTTGTACCCCAGGCTGGCCTCAAACTCAAAACAATCCTCCTGCCTCAGCCTCCCAAGTGCTGGGACTACAGGCATGTGCCACCATGCCTGGCTTTTCCACCCTTCTTTTTTTTTTTCTTTCCACCCTTCTTATAATGAATATATATATAGTATTTATTTTCTCTTAAACAATGGGATAGAACCCAAATCCTTTGAACTAAGCTATATCCCCAGCCCTATTTTTATTTATTTTGAGATGGAGTCTCACTAAATTGGCCACGCTGGGCTCAGACTTGCAGTCCTCCTGCTTCAGCCACCCAAAGTGCTGGAATGACAGGCGTGCGTCACTGTGTCCGGCTCAAATTTTTTTTTCTTTGTAATTGCTGAGCTCAAACCCAAGGCCTCACATGTGCTAGGCAGGTGCTCTACCGCTGAGCGATACCCTCAGCCTCCTTCATATAATGAAGTGTAATACCTTAAGAAATGTCCAAGGCATCCCTTGGCCCCTGTGCCTTAGATGCTGCCCCAGCCCACCCGGAAGTTCCGGGTCAGCACACGAAGCATTCCTAACTTCCCCCCAGCGCTGCCAGCGGAGCCCTCCGGTCAGTGCACGTGTGGCGGGCTGTGAATACTCCACTCTCAGGATAGCACATTTCGTGTCGGGGGGAACATCTTTATTTGGTACACAGCAAAACGTGATGCAGAGAATGAGCCCGATCTTTTTTTTTTTTTTTTGAATGTGTGTATGAATGTGTGTCTCTGTAGGAAGAGGACCGAGGGGATGTTTAACACTTAACCATTTTGCTGTTATTTGTGATATATTGTTTGTTGGGCTTTTCCAAATTTCTACACGGAACAACACATTATTTCTTTCAGCGTGAGAAAATGGTTCATAATAAATGTGATTTGTAAAATGCACCTCCCTGACTCTGTCTTCTCTCCGGGAGCACGGCGCTGCTCTTCCTCTCAACTGTGCTTCATGGCGACGCTTCCCCAGGCTCACGCTGTCTGTCCCTGCCTGGCCGGGGGACCTCCCTGCTGCAGCGTGCCCTTTACCAAGCGCTGGGGACCAGACCCCCGGGACTGCTCACCTTCTTCTGGGCCCGGACTCTCCCACTGTGCTGCCCTCTGGACGCCAGGCGCATCCCCAGGGCCGAGAGCCTGCCCTGCGCAAAGCCCATTGCCTCTCCTCGGAGGCTCCCGACTCCCAGCCCCATAGCCAGAAACCAGGGACTCGGGCAGCGCCCCTCCCGCCTCCGCTGGCCCTAGGCCTACCTCTACTTACCCTCTGGAGTCTGGCCAGGCCTTGCTCCTTCCAGCTGGGGATCTGGAGAGCTTCCTCCTGGGGTCTTGTGCCTGTTCTGAGCCTCCAGCTTGCTTTGGAGCCCCCCGTATGCCCTCCACCTCGCAGCACACACCCAGCCCCTCACCCAGGAGCTGCTTCCCACCTGGGGTCCTGGCTCAGCACCCCTGTAGCCCCAGTCACGACTCAGAGCCTCACTCTGCTCACCCCGCTTCCCACCACGACCCCTAGCTAACTCACTTCACTCCCCGGCTGTCGGGAGTGACGGGGACAAAGAGGCCCAGGACCCAAGGGGCCCATGGCACGGAGTGTCCCAAACTAACAAGTGGGTGACTCCCGTGGGAACTCCCAGCCTCCCCGCGCAGGGCCAGTGAGACTTGGGGTTTGATTTCACCAGAGAACCACTATAGCCACGGACTGCATTCCTGCCTCTGATTGGACCAAACAGCACTTGGAGAAAATATTGCCAGAGTGGGGGATTTGTCCAGGTTCTTGATGTCCTGGACACCAGGGGTGCAGCAGAACACCCACATGGAGTAGCAAGATTGAAGATTTCTTGAAAACTGGAAATACATTCTACTGGGTGGCAGCGGGCCGGCGAGAAGGGCCGGAGGCCCCCTGGGGGCTTGGAGCTGTAGGGTTTGGAGTGGGACTGAGGAGTCGGTCTGAGGAGTCTCCATCCTGCCATGGAGCAGCCTGGTGCAGCCCCTCCACCCAGAGGTGGAGTTTTCGGCCTTTTATGACCCTTGGAGGAATTGTGGGGCAGCCAATGCCCATGCGTGTTAAATCTGCATAGCCAATCACATGGTAATTAGGGTTGGGGCTGGCCAAGGGCTGCAGAAGCCCCAGGCCCACGCCTGGGACTGTGTCTAAGCTGGGTGAGCCGGTTACCTACTCTCCTTGTATTTGGACCCAGACAGCCTGGCTCTGGGCTAATGTTTAACTCGGACGTGGCTCTAGCCCAGAAAGCCCTCCAAGGAGACCCTCTCTTTTCTCTCCAGCTGTTTCCTTAGCCACCTCCTGCCGCAGCTTCTGCTCCGTGATCCTGAGCTAAGCTTTCCGGGAGGTGGTGGCCTTGCAGATGGTACTCGGCGACTCTATCAGTTAGGAGAGGCTGGGTTATGCTGTTAGCAGAAGCCCCAGGTCTGTTTCTCACACTGCACACCCGTCACACGTGGGAGCTCTAAGCCGTCCTCCTGACCGGATGCAGCCTGCAGCTGACCCACCGTCCAAGGATCGCTGACAACAGCCATGGCAGGTCGGAGGGGACACAGGTCTTAAAGGTCTTCATCTGCAAGGGACAGGTGACCCTCTGTTCACCATGTGTTGGCAAGCAAGTCATATGAATGGGGGTGGCGAAATGCAATTCTACCAATGGCCAAAAAGAGGATCCCAACAAGTTCTGGTGGACAGCAACTTGGGAGGCCACAGAGAAGCCTCCAACAAGCAGGCTGGGCGAGGCGGTACGCGAAGGCACTACCAGCTACTTGTCAAGCTGAGGCAGGGGGTTAGCAAGCTCAAGCCACGCCTTCACAAAATCCTGTCTCCCTGGGTGTGGTGGTGCATGCCTGTAATCCCAGCACTCTGGGAGGCTGAGGCAGGAGGATCATTGAGAGTTTGAGAGCAGCTACAAAATGAGCTCCAAGCGAGCCTGTACTGCATAGTGAGACGCTGTCTCAAAAAGACAATAAATAAAATAATAAAAGACCCTGTCTCAAAATGAAAACAAAGGTCGAGGGCACTGGGGATATAGCTCAGCACTCCTTGGGTTCAATCTCCAGTACTGCAAAACAAAACAATAAATCCCTGTACTCTCTCTGACCCAATAAATCCAGGAATTACAGGGTTTAAGCCGGCATCTGTACTGCAAGCCTTTATTTTACTATACATTCTGATCGTCAGAAACAGCCACAGCAGTTTGTCTGAGGGCAAAGCATGCGAGCCGATGTTCCTCACATGCCCTCTGCCATCCTGGCCCAGGGCCTTGGACACAGAGATGCTCATATTTAGCTGTGTTGCACAGCAGGGCACACTCACGCTCATCTAGCAGTGGTGTGCTCATGAGAGGAAAGATGAGGGAGGATGAGCAGGACAAAAGGACTGTTCAAAGGGAGAAAATCAAGTTTATCAAGTTTATCCCATGATCAAGTCGGTGCCAGGCCCACGCCTGACCTCATAAAGCCCTCTTAACACTAACGCCTTAAAAACCACTATTGTCTCTATTTCACAGGGGAGCAAACAGGCAGAATCAATTTCAAATGTGTGCAGCTTGTGACTTGTGTTGACAGTGTACGTTCCAGCTCCTAAATCGACTTTGCAATCTCTATCAAGATGTTCACACCAACACAGCCTTTTGTCTGCACTGGCGTCAGCAAGGCCAAAGCCTCAGCTTGGTGGCCAAGGGTAGGTCTCCTGGGGCCCAGGAGCTGGGCTTGCGGGTGCTGAACCCAAGGAAGTAGGTGGTCTTGCAGAATCTGGGCTTGTGAAACTGGCCACAAAGTGACACGGGGTTTGTGCAGCCCAGAGGCCCGGCTCCTGCCTAGCACAGTGAGGCCCTGGTTCCATCCCCAGTGACGCAAAAGCTAAAAAATATCCTGCTGGACAAAAGCCACGAGCATTTTGAGGTTCCTTCGGCGCGCAGATCTTGGTGCTGTTTCACGTGCCGGTTCCCACAGTGCTCCTGTAAGATCGATAGCGGAGCAGGGGCCGGCCCTGGGAGGCTTCTGAGCCCTCGCCTACCTTAACCCTCTGTCCAGACCCGAGACCCTGGGGCAACATCAGGAGGGACCGCGTCACACGTGCCCGGGCCGGGGTCACACCTGACCTGCAAGCTGTGGGGCTGCGCGTAAGTTACTCACTGTCTCTGGGTCTCAGTTTCCTCCGTTCTTAAAGGCTTCCACTTTACTGAGGTGGTTAAGTAACCCTGACTAAGAGCCCCGTGCAGCGCCTGGTGCAAAGTTACAGGGACAGCCAATCCTACCCTCGGGGCCGCTCTACCAGGTGAGTGCCGAAACTCCGACCCAGAAAAGCAGGATTGGCAGGGCCCTTAGTGACCTTACCCCGTTACACGGTCTAGCAGTCACTGGATGTAACTGAGCCAGTCACTCATCCTGGGCTCCCTAGGAGCCACGCCAAGCCTTGCCTCTCATCCTTGCGACCTTCTAACTCAACCCTGGGAAGCAGACGCGACCACCGTCTTCATTTCCACGTCCAGGATGCGCAGCCCTCGGAGTTCCAACGACCGGAAGGTCCATGTAGCCAGGAGAAGCGCCAGAGCCCCACCCCACGTGATCCGCGTGAGAGGACACACGGCACCCACTGGGCAGGAACGCCAGGAGGGTCGAGGGAGACTTGCTCTATGCCCCACTGCGCTCAACGCCGAATCCCTCCTCGCGCAGGCGCCAACGCCAGGCGCCTGGCTGCGCAAACTCGGACGCAGATACGCCCTCCCCATTCCAGCAGCTCCGCGGGCGTCACTGGACGCTTTGCGTTTGCGCAGTCTCCAGGCCACAGGGCGACCCGGCGGCCGTGTCAGCATCCGGGTCGCAGGCTCCTGCAAACCAATGAGCGAAGGCACCGCGAGTCAGGGGGCGGGGCACAGGAGGGCAACATGGCTGCCCCCAGTGCGCCGCTTCCGGGGGCTTGTGGGAGTAGCCCTGACCCGCAGCCGTAGCACCGTGCTCCCTGTGCACTCACCAGCAGAGCCTCGGTCGCGCTCCGCTAGCTCTGCAAGGCTGCGGCTGCGGAGGGAGCCATGGGGACCGTGCATGCCCGGGTAAGCGGCCCAGCAACTCGCGGGGTGCGGGACCTTGGGGGACTATAGTGGCCGCGGGGAGACGCTCTCGTGCCTGCTGCGCCCTGGTTCCCCGGGTGGGAGGGCACCGAGGCGGCGGGGCGCAGTGCGGAAGGCCGCAGAGAGATTGCCTCGGACCGGCGGGAAGCCGATTCCAGGGGAGGAGGGTCGTGGAGCTGTGAAGGTCACTCCGCGAGTCAGTGCCCCGGGAAGGACTTTAGAACTCGCCCTGATGACCTTAGTGCCTGTCTGTCCGGCTCTTGCGAGAGTTCGGACGTGAGCCATCCAGGGTGCTGTCAAAAGACGAAGTTCAGGGGCTGGGGATTTAGCTCAGCGGCACAGCGCCTGCCTGGCCAGCGCAAGGTCGTGAGTTCGATTCTCGGTACCGGAAGAAAAAAAAAAGACGAACTTCACAAACTTCGTTTAGCGCTCCGACGTGACTTTCATTTGCAGTTCAGGAATTGGGCGGCGTCTCAATTTGTGCACGTGAATGAGCGTCCAAACTAACAGCCTGTGCCAGTTCTACCTAACGGTGCATACCTGGCTGCAAAACTTCCCAAACTGCTTTTTTTTTTTTTTTTTGTAATCTTAACGGAGCACCGGAGAATGAGGCACTTGTCCAGGGTCCCTCAGAGCCGCAGAGTGTCCCAGACCTCAGCGTCCTGGTCTCAGCACTACTTTTCTACTGTAAGGTGAATTGTCTCATTTATCCAGTTCAGTTTTCAGTGGAGCGCGCCTCGTGAACTTGCAAAACAGTTTAGCACAGGCATCTCAGCCCGGCTTCCTTCAGAGTGGAGCCGTTTCCTTTCACTTGTCTTTCAAACCCAGCACCGTTGCTCTTCCGCCGTGGCCTTCGGACTGCGCTGCGGGTGCTCGTTCTCTGTCCACCAGCCACTTCACACCCGGCTTTAACCATTACAATATTCCCACCTTTTAGAGCTCAGTTCAAGTTGCTTCCTGTGTAAACTGCCTCTGTATCGCTCTCGTTTGGATGTGCTACTACTTCCTGTGGCATTTTCCCTCTGGTGTCGCTTATATTCAGCCTTAAGTCTGCTTACATCTCTGTCTTATCCTATTAGATGTGAAGTTTCTCGGTGTTACAGCATGAACTCTGTCTTGCCGAGTGTCTTAGTTACTTTTCTCTCGTTGCTGAGACAAAATACCTGACAGCCAGAATTAAGGAAGGAAAGGTTTATTTAGCTCACAGTCTGTGGAGGTTGTAGTGCATAATCAGATGGCTCCAAGGCAGGGTGGCACGTGGCAGAGAGCAAGGGTTCATGGCTATGGAAAACAGCAAAAGCAGCAAGATCAAAAGGGGGAGCAAGCCTCTTTCCCCTCCTTATATTGTATACCGGCTCTCCTCCCAGCCCACTGCATCTCTGGTGCCCTCCTCTTCCCCAAGGTGAGGGTGTTTACAGTGTAAGGACCCGGGGAGTCCTGCTGAATCAATGAAGCTTTAGGATTTAGGATTAAGCTTTAGGATTCCTCAAGTTGACACAGTGTGTCGACCATAACACCCAGTTTTTCACGTAACATGTTGAACTATATGAGCACCCATCCATTTATGTAACTCATATTTACTGGTGGCCTACAGTGTGTGTGGCACTGTTGTACTTGCCAGAGGTACGGTTTTAAAAATCTGCTTTTATGAAGTGGAGCTCCTTTAATGCTAAAGTTGGTGCGCCATTGATTAATGCGCTAACAAACACCGTTTCCAATACTTTAGTTTTTTGTATACCACTATTAAGTGTTTTTCTAATGTTTTGATTAGGAATCACAGTAAGAAAACAATTGACATTTGCCACCTAGTTTGTGTGTGTGTGTGTGTGTGTCTTTTTTGAGACAGGGTTTCTGCTATGCAGTTCAAGCTGGCCTTGAACTCCCTTTGTAGCCCAGGCTGGCCTTGAACTTACAGTGATTCTCCTGCCTCAGTCTCCCAAGTGCTGGTATTACAGGTGTGTGCCACCACACCTGGCTGCCACCTAGTATTGGCATGCATATGTGAAACAAAAGTTCTGTGGAACAGTTTTTATCATTAATGTCTATTATGGACTGCTGTATTTTTTATTTGATTCTAGTCTTCACTTTAAAGATACTGTTCATAGCTTATTAAATTTATCTCCTCTCCTGTCTCCACTGCTTTGCACAGAGGATGGTTCATGGAAATCAGTAAAAACTTGCAGCTGGATGTGGGGTGAACACATGTAATCCCAGCTGAGGAGAGGAGGCTGAGGCAGGAGGCTGAGGCAGGAGGATTGCAAGTTTGAGCTCAGCCTAGGCAAGTTAGCAACGTAACAAGACCCTGTCTAAAAGGAACAGGGCTGGGACTGTAGCTCAGCCTGAAGGCCCTGGGTTCAGTCCCTAGTACTACAGAACAAAACTAGTTGACCGTTGACTGATTGCAGACTGATCTGTTTAAAGGTTAAAGGCTAGATCCACATATTTATTTTAATTCATTTTCCAAATATTTATCCCATGCCTGTTCTTCCAGGCACTAGAATGTGAAGTCTATGAGAATTAGGGTCTTAATAAGTGTTTGTCACAGAGTAGGATCTTAATCACCGGCTCACCCTGAGCACGCTCGGGCCCTGCGTTTGTTTACATACTGACTATTCCTCATGCTTGGGCAGGTGTCATTTCAACCAGTTGATTCTTGTATTGAATAAATTTGATGAAATTGTCAACTTTTATATTTCCTGTCATACTATCTTATAACATCAGTGGAAAATGCAGTTTTTTGGTCAGGTCATCCTGTATTTAAATGATTGGACTGGTAAGTGGTTAATAGAATGTGGGGAATGGTGAAATCTCCATTATTGGAAGGCAGTTTAGGATGTATGCTTTGGCATAACTGTCAAACTGCAGGGACATCTCTTAAGCTTAAAGTCTGCGTTCCAGCATAGAGGATACAGATGAGTCTGGTGGGTCTTCGGTGAATCTCATTCCAAGCTTTGAGGTTTCAGGAAATGTAATGGAATTTTTTTTTAGCATACTGGAATATAAACTTTGTGTCCAAACGAAGCACATATGCAAAGCATCCTGACTAAGAATCTGTATACATTCTTAATTTGCTTGTAGTTTAGACAGATTAACAGTAATTCAATTTTTAAAATGTTACACTAAAAAGGACCTAATAAAGACATGAAATTATGTGTTCTATGATCATTGTTATCTTCCTTTTTTTTTTTTCCAGTACTGGGACTCGAACTCACAACCTCATGCTTGCCAGGCAGGCACTGTGCCACTGAGCTAAACCCCCAGCCCCATTATCTTCCTTTTTAAAAGTTTAAATAAAATTCGGCCTACACTACAAGGACATTGTGGTTTTGTTTGCTGCAGTGAGCCCAGTATTTTGCGTATAGTGTGCACTCAGGACATGTTTGTTAAGTAAAAGAACAAAAGAATATTTATTCCTTCACTGTAATAGCGTTCCTGTCACTGGGATAGGATACTCGACACCCACAGCTTTGAAGAGAAGAGGTTTAACTTGGCTCACAGCTTCAGGCGTTCAGTCCATGGTCCGCTGCTCCGAGGCGGGAGCATCGTGCCAGACAAGCATCAAGGAACCAAACTGTTCGGTTGTTGGGAAGCAAAGTGAGGAAGCAGTGCCAGACAGGAAGCATTAAGGGACCGGACATAGGCCCTAAGCCTACACCTCCGTGACCCTGTCAGACATACCCAGAAGTGTGCCTTAACCTGGGCAGCTTCCATACCCGTCAGGTTGGCACAGTTGAACTCAATCACTGCACTCACTGTCCTGTGGGTATCTATTGCATACTCCAGATGTGTCAGTGTAGATAAAAATTTTTAAAAAGTGGTGCTCTGAAGATCACAAAACTTCTACCAACAAGAGGTGTCCCTGTGAAGGAAGGAGTGATTCTGCCTTAAAAAACCGGAAGTGGGGCTGAAGATTTAGCTCAGTGGCACAGCGCCTGCCTGGCAAGCACAAGGTCATGAGTTCGATTCCCGGTACCGGAAACAAAACAAAACAAAACAAAAAAACCGGAAGTGGCTTACAGAGATGAGACATTTAAAGTGGCTGTAACTACTCGGGAAAGCCAGTCAGGAAGGGGGAACGAGGTGCACAGAGCCTGGATGGTGGAGGTGGAAATGTGTGGCAGGTGTGGGCCTGGCCGTGGAGTTCCCGTGTGCTCCGCCCAGGAATCTGTTTGGAGCCTCTCCCTGTGTGCACTGCGGGGACCATCAGGACTGAAGGACAGGGCTTGGGAAAGTGCGTGTGTGGTGCAGTCAGGTCAAGTGTTCATTTTGGAAACAGAATGCTTCCATAGCAATTTGATTTGCCAGTGTGGCTATTCTGAAAAGTATCCAGATCTAATTCTTGTTTTTCTTTTTCTTTTCTTTCTTTCTTTCTTTTTTTTTTTTTTTGGTCTTTTTCAAACAGGGTCTCACTGTGCAGTTCAGGCTGGCTTCAAACTCACAGTGATCCTCCTGCCTCAGCTTCCCAAGTGCTGGGATTACAGGCATGCGCCACCACACCTGGCTAGAACAGCAGATTTTTCATAAATTATTTATTTTCCTTCACATGGACTTCAAGTGTAGATTGAGAGTCGTTAAAACCTTGGTTCTGGGTGTGGTCCTTCAGGGTTTGTATCAGACATTTTAAATTTTTAATCTTTGTTTTTATTACAGATACAGTAAATACCAAAGGGTTAGCCACCAGTGAGTTAACCACCAGCCCGGCGCTTGCCTGTGAAAGCAGCCGCCACCTGCCTTTTATTCCCTCTCCCCGCTCCGTCCCTTGACTTTGTGGAGCACGGACTGAAGCCAAATTGGAAGGTCTCCTTTTGTTTTGTTTTGTTTGTGTTGCCAGTCTGTTGACCTGTGGCCCTTCCCTCCCTTTCAGAGTCTGGAGCCCCTGCCCGCCAGTGGCCCTGACTTTGGAGGATTAGGCGAAGAAGCTGAATTCCTTGAAGTTGAACCTGAAGCTAAACAGGAAATTCTGGAAAACAAAGATGTGAGTTTTCGGCCCCAGATCTTCGCACGCTTGTTCCTAGGAGCCTTCGCTCCTGTGGCCCGGCGCGAGATGTGCACAGCCTAACCTGTCACCTGCTACAGCTTCCACCAGGAACACCCTGACTTCTGGGGAGATTGCTCCTAGCTGTGGACTGGTTTTATGGGGACAGCTGAGGCAAACACATTTTTGTGTCTATTCTGTTTTAAATTCGGAGATAGACTCAGACTGTACTTAAATTTATGCATCTGTTCCCCGCTGCCAGCAAAGATGTTTTTGCCTTTAAATGTAGATAACATCTTTCGGTCTCCGGAAAAATTTACTTCTCCTTGAGGACCCCAGGAGGTGGGGCTCGGGGCTGCCTCTCAGGCAGTGTTGGGAAGGACAGACAGGTTGGCAGGGCCAGACACCCCTTCCCCCCAGAGACCAGTCTCCTTCATAGGAAGAATGCGCTGAGGGGCGAGAAGGGAGGTCATCAAACCTGAGAAATGGCGTGCAGTTGGGTGTGGGCTCTGGCCTGTAGCTGTGCCCCCTCGTCCTTGCCCTGTGTCTTACGTAACAACGGCGTCCCCTTGTCCCCCGCAGGTCGTTGTGCAGCACGTTCATTTTGATGGACTCGGAAGGACTAAAGATGATATCATCATCTGTGAAATCGGAGAGGTCTTCAAGGCCAAGAACCTCATTGAGGTGAGTGCGGTGTCTCCTCAGCACCTTTCCCACTCGATTCTGAAGAACCTGTATGGCCTCTCCTGAAGCACAGGCGCCTATCCCTGGCCTCCTGCCCCGAGGGGCCCTCTGTCCCTGGGACATGTCCTGAGCTGTTGCCCCAGGGGAAGAACTGTTCGTCCCCTCGTCCCAGCCCCCTCCCCGTCAGCGGCCGGCACAGCCGATGGACTGAGTCCTGCCCTTCCCAGCACCTCGCTGAGAGGCGACCCTGCGGAGGTCGCCCTCCTGTTACCCTCCGCCCGTGTCCCCAGGCCCTCCCCGTCTGTGGAGCAGTCTCCCCCTGCACTGCCCCTCTTCCTGCTCACAGACAGGGTCCTTCCGCCCCTCTGCCCGTGGGCCACGCTGACCTGTGGCTGGGCAGAGGTCACCCGCAGCGTCCTTGTGGCCCCGTCCAGCCGCCTCCTTTCCACCCACTCGTCCTTGACCTTTAAGCAGCGTTTGGCAACGTCCACCATTCCTGCTCCAAAAAAACCAAACCAGTTTATATTGAAAAGATTGAAGGTGAACACAAGAGCGAGCAACAGATCGGATGGCGCAGGCAGTGTTGAAGGGGGCATGCGTGTTCTGTGCAGCAGCCGTCCGGGGTGTCCACTCGGGTGAGCACAGACGGCCGGAGACGCTGTCCTTCCCCACGGCCTCCCTACACCTTCCGTGCACCGTGCACCACGGACGCCTCCTCCCAGCAGCACCCGCTGACCGCTGGCCGCGGTGCCTCAGTGCACATTGGTGTTCATTGTTTTGCTCCTGTGAATGATCCATGGTGAAACACCCTTGTGTATTTTTGAGGTTTTTTTGTGTGTGTCTCTTTTTGAGACAGGGTCTCTCTATACAGTTCAAGCTGGCCTTGAGCTCACTTTGTAGCTCAGGCTGGTCTCAAACTCACAATGATCCTCCTGCCTCAGCCTCCCGAGTGCTGGGATTCAGGCGTGCTCCACCACTCCTGGCTATCAGTCTCTGTCTCTTTCCCTCTTACAGGTCATGCGGAAATCTCATGAAGCCCGTGAAAAGCTGCTTCGTCTCGGGATCTTTAGACAAGTGGACGTTTTGATCGATACGTGTCAAGGTACCGTGGGAGGGGCTTCTCTGTGGTCCTCTGTCCGTCCTCCTCCCGTTCCCAGAACAGCGGTGCGGCTGATACAGGTCGCCCAGACGGGCCTTGGGAAGGAGCCGCATTGTGTGCTGGGCTGAGGGAGGAACGGTGATCTGAACCACACCGAGTCCCGGGGGAGCCCTGTAGCGGGGAGCCGGGCTTCCCTCGCCGACCCCAGCCCCTGGCCGCCCGCATAGACCCCTGCCAGACGCCACCCAAATGCGCGCTTTGGAACGAGGGAGTTGGTTTCTGTTGGCTTTGCTCATCACTGGTGTCCTGCGTGACGCTGGCCGGGCCGCTCAGCCCAGCAGCGACTCTCACCCTGAGCCAGGCCTGCAGGGGCAGCAGCACGCCAAGCTGCCGCTTCTGGGGCTCCGGTAGGTGAGGCAGGCCAGGGCGTTGCCGGTCGGGGAGGAGAGCGCTCCAGGCATGCCTGCTGGAGGCCGTGGCTTGACGTTAGGTACCCGCTCAAGTGCAGGCCCCACCAGGCCTTGTAAGGGGCCACACATAAATCACAGCTGGGGAAGCCGAGGCTCAGAGAGGTGGCAGGAAGCCCCAGGTCCACCCGGCGAGTGGCACAGGCCAGCTCCCAAGTCAGACCCTCGACCAGCGGTGTGAGTGTTGCTGGCATTTGGCTGTGGCCCCCTCTCCTGTTGTTGGCTTGACCTGGGTCTCTACCAGCACCCTCCGCCCTGGCTGCTCGCTAGTCCCTGGTGCAGCCCGACGACCACGGGACGCTGTCGCAGAGCACACACAGCCGTGTACATTCGCCCACATCCAGAGTACACGACACCCAGAGCGACCCTCACGTCAGCTGTGGCTTCAGCTAATAGCGGCACGTGGGTTTATGGGTGTGGCGGTGTCCCCGTGAGCACGAGCTGTACCAGGCGGGGAGATGCCTGGTGGGAGTGGCTCGGGTTCGTTTGCTCTCTGCGCTTCCCGCTTGATCTTTCTGTACACTCAGAACTGCTCTGAAGATAAACCTGCCCTGGACCCACTGGCTCCAAGCCTCTAGGGACCGAGGCCTGGGTATGGGTAGCAACCACCGTGGGCCACAAGCAGGGGCCGTCCTTGCTCCTGAGAAGCCCACGGCCTCAAGGAAGCTGGCTGAGTTCAGGCCTGATCACCTCTGTCCCAGTGATTTAATAAGAAATACTGCATTTTTGTTTCTCATTTTCCTGACATCCCTGGGTGACTCAGGGACTCGTATGGGTGAGCGGATCCCCTTAGCGGCGCTGTTTGCCTTGGCGAGCAGAGCTGCCTCCGCATCTCCCCGTGGCAGTAGAGGCGGCTGTTGGAGGATACGCGTATTCCGCCACTGAAACGAGGAACAGGATTTTTGGAGTAGAGGTGTATTTTGATTCCGTGTGGGAGTCTTCTTAGACTTCAAAATAGATGGCGTGTTTTCCCAAGGAGGTTGTAAAATAAAATGAACCTTCCAATTGCTATTTGTCTTTTTTTTAGCCGTAGGCCTCAAAATAAAAGACCGTTTTCCAGCTGTCTTCTTGTTTAATCTTTCTTATGTCCTCAGGTGATGACGCACTTCCCAATGGGCTAGATGTCACCTTTGAAGTGACTGAGTTAAGGAGGTTGACAGGCAGTTACAACACCATGGTCGGAAATAACGAAGGCAGCATGGTACGATGGAGGCTTTTCTCGTCTGTGTTGGGATTTAGAATATGAGCTCTAGAAAGGTGGCTGCATCCTAAATGCTCACGATAGCTTCAGAACTGTTTTTCACTTCATGTCTCTTGGTCTGTTGTTCTTTGTGGTTTTTCTTTAAACTCCCTAGAATTGATTAGAAGGTATTTTAAATCATTTGATAACAATCATCAGGAGTGGAGCTAGGCGTGGTTGCACATGCCTGTAATCCCAGCACTCGGGAGGCTGAGGCAGGAGGATCGTTGTGAGTTCGAGACCAGCCTGGAAGGCTGAGGCAGGAGGATCTTTGCAAGTTTGAGACCAGCCTGGGCTGCAAAGTGAGTTCAAGGCTGGCCTGAACTGCATAGCGAGACCCTGTCTCAAAAAGACAAAAGGAAAAAAAAAAAATCATCAGGAGTGGTTAGAAATTGTTTTTAGTGAGAGTGGTCCCCATTCAAATTTCTTTAAACTCCACATCTGTAGATGTTATGTCTTTTTTTTTTTTTTTTTGACTTTACACCCTTGAGAGTCGCAGTTGGGAGGTCCCCTGACTCTGAGGTGACGGGGTCTGTGGGCACGGTGCTCCGTCAAGCGTAAAGGCAGGGACAGCTGCAGGCCGGCCCGTGGCCCGCGTTTGTGTTCTGTGTCTGTGACGGCCCCTTCGTGGGCTGAGTTTGTTGTATTACAGGCTCCATGTCCCTCCGTGTGACCCCGCTTTTCTCTGTTCCCCGCTCAGGTCCTCGGCCTCAAGCTCCCCAATCTGCTGGGCCGTGCAGAAAAAGTGACTTTCCAGTTTTCTTATGGCACCAAAGAAACGTCCTACGGCCTGTCCTTCTTCAAACCGCAGCCTGGGAACTTCGAGAGAAAGTAGGAAGCCAGGCGGAGGGCTGCGTGCAGTGGCGGGCGTGCTGGTCAGAGGCTGGTGTGTGCGCAGGGGCCAGTCAGCTGCCGCTTTGCCCGGTGGCCTGCGCCTGGCTCTGCGCAACTTACACGTGTGCCGTTCTGTCCCATCGCCTCCTAGCTTCTCGGTAAACCTGTACAAAGTCACCGGACAGTTCCCGTGGAGCTCGCTGCGGGAGACGGACCGAGGAGTGTCCGCCGAGTACAGCGTACGTCCTCCCAGCATCCCCGGCTTTCCGAGCATTCCCAAAGACAGCGCAGCGCGGGGAGGCTGGGAGCGCAGCCCTCTGTCCGCCCGGGCCGAGCCCTGGACACCTGTGCCGTAGCCCAGCGCAGCTGCCACCCACGCTGCTGCCCAGGGGCCTCCGTGCGCCTCACTTCCCGCGCCGCTATTTGTCCTCCTACTGCCACGGACGGGGCGGAAACCAGGTGGTGCTGGCAGAGCAGGGCCCACTGCCCTGGGTGTGCTCGCAGTGTGGAGACGCCACCCGCGTCTCCTGCGTGACAGTGTCTTCATTAGGAGCTGCTCCCTAAGCCCTGGAGACGATTAGGGCCTTGCGGGTGCAGAGGCGAGCACCTCCAGTCCTCATCCTGTAAGCAGGCCAGCGTGTGCTTGGCCTGTGATGGTGGCCCCCAACCCACAGTGGCCTCGGGGACACAGAGCCTGGTGGGGGTGGCCTGGCTTCCTTGTAACGTGAGGCATCTCTGTGTGTCCCAGAGCTACCGGGCAGTGTCACTCGCTGTCCAGAGAGAACACGAGCGTCTCCGAGGCAACCTGAGGCAGGCTGGCCGGGCTGTGGGCTCAGAGGGCAGGTCCCCTTGTGCAGCCCAGGCTCCTCTTGTCCCGGGCCGCTGGCTGTGGAGAGCTGCTCTCCACTCTGTGCAGCTTGGGCTCACTGTCGCTCTGGCTGAGGCGGTCGTCTGGTCCCCAGGCAGTGTCCCTGGATCCCTCGCTTTGCAGAGAGCCGGTAGACACTGTAGCTGCTGGTGACAGGCCCTCCGGCTTCCCCTGACTGGCGCTGGAGCAGTTGCTCCTTGGGTTCGGTTCCCAGCTTCCCCTCTCCTCCTTCCTCTTCCCCCCTCTGCCTGCTTCGCTCTCCCCCTTTCTCTCTCTCAACATTTAAAGCATTTTATCCATTCTCAGGAAGCTCAGGCAAGAGGCAGGTCACAAGTTCAAGGCCAGCCTGGGCAATTCCGTGAGACCCCCATCTCAAAATTAAAAAATAAAGACAAGCTGGCAGTAGCTCAGTAGCAGAGCACTTGCCTAGCACGCACAAGGCTGCGTCCCACCCCCGGCACTGCCAAAAAAAGTGAGATATTTCTTAGTGATGCCTCATTGCAAACGGCGGTCTGCCACGACTCCAGAGTGCGTGTACCGAAAGGGCACTCACCGCCCGTGTGCCCTCGCAGTTCCCCATATGGAGGACCAGCCACACTGTCAAGTGGGAGGGCGTGTGGCGGGAGCTGGGCTGCCTCTCCAGGACCGCGTCCTTCGCTGTGCGGAAAGAGAGCGGACACTCGCTGAAGTCGTCGCTCTCGGTAAGCGGCCTCCCCGAGGGAGTGATGGGTCATTGGTGGCCGCACCGTCCAGTGGGAAAGCAGTCTGCAACACCCAGCTGACTGGGTGGCCGCAGAGAGGGTGGACCCAGCGCCTTCCTATGCACAGCCGCTGCCTTGCCTCAGTTTCCCCACATAACATGGCGGCGGGGGAGGGGAGTGGAACGGGGCGTGTAAGAGCTGACCGTGGAATCACAGCTTTCAGGCATAACTAGAAAGCCACCGAGTTGGCTTGGGCTGCGGTGCTGGCTTGCGAAGGGACTGCAGGGACCTGGTGCCAGGTCTCAGCCCCACGGGTGGGGCGGTGGGCTGTGGCGCCCTTGCTGTGGAGGTGGCCTGACGGTGCGGCCTGGGCCCCGCTTCGGGCAGGGGCCGGGGAAGCCGCTGGCGGCCAGCGCGCGGCGAGAGCGGCGTTGGTTATGAAGCTGCGGGAGGTGCGGGCGCCCGCTCACAGCTCTCTTGCAGCACGCCATGGTCATCGACTCGCGGAACTCTTCCATCCTGCCCAAGCGGGGGGCCCTGCTGAAGGTGAACCAGGTAGGCTCGCTTCGGGGTCGCCTCGGGGTCGCCTCGGCAGGGACATCCGCAGGCGGTGACCCCAGGGGTGGGAGTGACGTGGGCTGTTCGCGTCGTCCGTGTTAACCGTCCCCTGTATCTGTACAGGTTCTAGGGGCTGGGGTGAAGCTCACTGGCCGGGTGGGCGCGGCCCCGGCTGCAGTGGCCAGGCCCAATCCTCAGCTGTCAGGGGTCCTGGGGTGGGCCCAGCAGGGTCAGGAGCTTGCGGGCTGGTGTCCCCTCTTCAGTTGAGAGGACGGGTCAGTCATCAGATGTTTTCATAGACGGTGGCACTCTGAAGGATTGGGTCGCGTCTGAACCCCGGCCGCCCCGTGAGCCACGTCGCCCCTCGCTAGTGTAGTGGTCCGCCATGCTGCGTGGATCTCCGCGCTAGGGTTGTTCAGGGCACACGACGGTCCTCTGTCCCTGCCCGTCCCCTGGTGCCACGTACAGCAGTTAGGAACGTTCTGAAAAACGTTCCTTCTAAGAAAAGTACAAAACACTGAAATCGTAACTGCGGAAACATGACAGCCCCCGCACGAGCCCTTCGCCGCCGGTGACCTGCCGATCCTCCCCACAGGAACTAGCGGGCTACACTGGCGGGGACGTGAGCTTCCTGAAGGAGGACTTCGAGCTGCAGGTGAACAAGCACCTCGTGTTGGATTCGGTGAGTACCTGCTGGGCGCTGCCGCCTCGGTTCCCCCCGCTGTGAAATCCTGCTGGGAGACCTTGTCCCAGAATGCCGGGCACACTCGGGGAGCCCTGGCGGCACTGAGGCTGAAGCACCCTGTCCTCCACTCGAGCTGGCACTGAGGCCCCCTGGGGAGAGGCGATCACTGCTTTCTTCTAAGAAGAACCCCCGGGCCCCAAGGAGCCCTTCCGCCCGCCCTCCGGATGCCCTCAGGAAGTGTGGCCGCGGACTCGGGAACGTCTGCTCTTCTGAAATGCGCAAGATCTGACCTTCCTGTGCGGGCACAGGGCTCTGGGAGCTTCCAGGGTGTTTTGTAGTTTTTGGAGCAGTTTGCCGGGTTTCTCTGATTCACCCGGAAAGGAGGGGTCAGTGACCACCTCTGCCAGGCCGGGGTCCCGGGCCGAGCACAAGCCTGGCTGTGTCAGCCTCGCCCTCACCCTCACCCTCACCCGGCTGACCCTGCCTGCGTGCGCTGTAACGAAGCGCCCGGCCAGCCTGTTCCAACTTCGCGGTCCCGGCCCTGGCAGTGTGGGCTCTCCCGCACTTGGAAGTCAGTTCCCGCCCTTCCCCTGCCACCGCCACTCCAGCGCCGCCGTGGGCCCTACTGCCCTGGCCACCAAGCTCTCCCTGTCCCTTCCCCAGTGCACAGCACCACCGGCTCCCCGTTCTCCTGGGATCCCCCTTGCTGGTGTCCTCGCCCCGTTATCTCTGTGGTTCTTTCCAGTTCCCTCCCCTCTGCCTCGTGGCTGGTTTTCCCCCTGCCCCTCGCTCGTCCCACTGTGCCCTTGCACGCTCCTTACCGTGTCCCCGTGCTAGTGCTCCTGGGCGTGAGCTCTGTGCGCCTCACAGACACCTCCGCCAGGGCTCTAAAACCCAACCAGGGCTGGGGAGGCCAACACGGGCATTGCGAATGCAAAGCCAGCCCAGGCAGTGCAGCAAAACCCCATCACAAAAAGCAACAAAGAAGGGCTGGGGGTGCAGTTTGTTCGTTGCTTCCTGGGATCAGTCCGCAATATCACAGAGAGTAAAGCAAACCGCCCCCTCCCCAGGACGCTCCCTCCTGAGGCCGGGCTCCAGCCTCCCCTCACTCATGAGGTCCCCGCTCAGCTGCCCTCAGCGTGCCCCTGGCTGCTCCAGTCCTCGCCCCCATGTTTTGTCCCTGCCGTCCCTGGCTGTCCCTTCTGCAGCGGCAGCCTGGAGCGTCTCCCTGCGTGCCTGCCCCTCTCGGTGGGTTTGCACGGGCTCACATCCTGATACACCCACTGGGAGGTGAAGACGCCCTCTGCATTCACACCCCGCCGGTGGAGCGCATTGCTTGGTCCGGCCCACGTGGGACCTGCCCGGGGCACTTAGGCTTGGTGGCCTGCCTTCCGCTGGGCAGTCGCCCGCAAAGCCTATCCACAGCGGTGTTGGTGGAGAATCTGGGGATGTACTGAGCACTGCGGGTGAGGTGGTCACGTGGGGATGCCACCACCACCCTGAAGCCCCATCAGACCCGTCGGGAGCCACATGTCACCGGCATGTCACCTGCTCTGCTCACGCTGCTCCAGTTTCCTTTCCTCTGTAGTGCTTCCCACCGAAGCTTCTTAAAAATCTGATATCTGAGCGCTCTGCAGGCTGGAGGGCAGTGATGGCGAACCTTTCACCGAGTTCAGTGATACAAACAGCCCACGGTGGCACACGTGCCATGGGTTTGACACCTCTGCCGTAGGCTCTGTCTGGGGGGTCATTGGAGCCATGCGGGTGTAGGGGCATTGCCATCCCAGCCTTCTTCCAGCCCGAGTGCTGTGTCCCCCGTCCTCCTGCATTTCCAGGCCAAGTCCAGGCCCCCAGCGTGCGGGACCCCTGGCCCAGGGCCTCCATCCCCCCGTGCATCAGGCTGAGGTTTGGCAGAGGGTGGGAGCTGCCTGGCGTCGGGCTGGAGCCCGCCCTGCTGTACCTGGCTGTGATGTCGTGCGCAGTGTGGGGCTGCCTCTGATTGAGTCCTCACAGCGACAGCGCTCTGCAGGCCCGGCAGGCGGGCTGGGAGACCCGCTCTAGAATGTTGCTTGCCGGAAACCAGAGGCTGCTGTCTGTGTCTGAACAGGTTGTCTCTGCGTCGCTGTGGGGTGGAATGTTGGTGCCCATCGGGGACAAGCCGTCCAGCATCGCGGACAGGTGAGGAGAGACCGCTGGGTGGGGCGGCAGATGTTTTCCTTTGGATCTTTTTGGTTGGTTTCTTATGAGATCCTTTAGAGGATCTCATTAGAAGAGCAGTCTTTCAATCTTACTCTACTTTTTAATGTTTAAGCTAACTTTGAAATATCTGGTCAGCTTATAATTATTTTTCTTTTGCTTTTTGCATTACTTTGTTATATTAAAAAGTATATTTTTCATTATGAATGAATAGTAGTCCATACTTGCTACAGAAATACATGAATGGCCAGGCATGGGGGCGCATTCCTGTGATCCCAGTGCTTAGGAGGCTGAGGCAGGAGGATCGCTGTGAGTTCAAAGTCAATCTGGGCTACAAAGTGAGTTTGGGGCCACCCTGAACTACACAGTGAGACCCTGTCTCAAAAACAAACATGAAAAAGTTTTAAGGAAATTGTAGGATAATCATTTACCAATCCTGAAAACTTCTTCATAAGCAGCGTTTTATCGGCACATAATCTTACTTGCTTATACTATAACTTTTCAACCTACTGCAATATTTTTTGATATTTTGTTTCTAATTTTGTAAGATTGTTGTGATTTTTTTTTTTCCCCTTGGGTGCAATACTGGGGATTGAACGCAGGTCTGTTAAAATTTTTCTTTTAAGACAGGGTCTTGCTGGGGCTGGGGGTTTAGCTCAGCGGCACAGCGCCTGCCTGGCAAGCACGAGGTCATGAGTTCAATTCCCGGTACCAGAAAAAAAAAAAAGATTCCACTGAGCCAGTAGAAAGCAGTGGTTCTATGAATCTGTGATCCTCCTGCTTCAGCTTCCCAGAGTGCTGAGATTACAGGTGCTTATTATCAAGCCCAGCTAAGTCTGTGGTATTTATAAGTAACACTGTGCAGAACGTTATAAGTAATTTGCTCATTTTATTTTCTGAGAAGATACTCCTGAATGAGGAGTTACAATCTCAGAATGAGGCTTTTTTTGCCGGATATGGTGATGCACACCTATAATCCCAGCCTTTGGGAGGCAGAGACAGGAGGATCACCTGGAATTTGAGGCCAGCCTGCACTATGCAGCAAGATCCTGTCTCAAAAAAACCCGAAAGCCAAACCAAAACCAAACAAAAACAAAAATCCCCAGAGTAAGGCTTTTTAAGACTGTAAAGAATCTTTCTGGACCCTGCCTTTTAGAGAGCTGGTAGCAGTTGATGGCGCTAGCATCAGGGTATGAGACCATGCTTGTTGCTCCGAGATGCTACTCATTGTCACCGTGGGCAAGAAATTGTCTCCACCCTGAGTTGGGTATGATGTTGCCTTAGCGTAAACTGGTTCAGCCTTTCTGGACGGAATGTGGAAGTGCAGAAATACTGAATTCATAGACTCGGGCCTGACAGTGCAACCTGCCCTGTCTCAGCCCGCTGTGTCTCAGGCTCTGTAGCGGACAGTCCTCCCGTCTCTGTCCCCCACATTGCCTGTTCGCAGCTTCTGTGTAGGAGTTAGGGTCGGGGCTGCGTTAGAAGGTCTTCCCAACCCTTTCTTTTTTCTTTTTTTTTGTTCTTTTGGGACAGGGTCTCGCTATGCAATTCAAGCTGCCCTTGAGCTCACTTTGTACCCCAGGCTGGTCTTGAACTCATAATGGGTCTTCTTGCCTCAGCCTCCCGAGTGCTGGGATGACAAGCGTGCACCACCATGCCTGGCAACCCTTTCTTAAATGAGGTGTGACGTTGGTCATCCGGGGCCGGCTGAGCCTCACATGTGCTCCTTGCCCTTTCTGAGGGCGATGGGCGGCTTCCCCTCGTGACCAGCCTCTGACACATGCCATTTCATCCTAGGTTCTGCCTCGGAGGGCCCACCAGTGTCCGCGGATTCGGCATGCACAGCATCGGGCCCCAGAGTGAAGGTACGTCCTGGCCCTAGGTAGCACATGCTGGGCTGGTCCCGCCTGGGGCTTCGGCCACACCGGTGTTTGTTGACGTCACGGCAGTAGTAGATGTGCACGGTTCACCATGCTGGAATTAGCACCCCACCCGGGACTGGTCACACAGCAGGCACGGGGTATTTATTGAGTAGACTGTAGGAAGATGAGACTATACATGTAGCAAAAAATGATTTGAAAACAACCTGTGACCCCATGCCCTCAGAGAACAGGTATGACTGTTCCATTGTATTTTCCCTCCAGGATTTAAACGGGTATTCCTATTTTTTGTTTTGTTTCATTTGGATACGGGTTTTTGGAACTGTTTTGTTTGCCTTTTCTCTTAATAATATAACAGTGTATTTTTATGGAAATAATACCTTTTTTCCCCCAGTACTAGGGATTGAACCTAGTACCTATACACTGAGCTGTGTCCGAGCCCTTTTATGATTTTTAAAGTTTGAGGCAGGTTCTCACTAAGTTGCCCAGGCGGGGTTCAAACTTGCAATCCTGTCTCAGCTTCCCAGAGTGCTGGCACTTCAGGTGTGCACCACCATGCCTGGCTTTATTTTATCATTTTTAATGGTTATATATTCCATCTTACTAGCGTGCTACGTATCGCTTCTTGGCCTTTTGGCTAAGATCAGGTGTAGCGTGCTGCAGTTGCTTGTGACTGATAGACTCCTAGAGCATCTTCAGGTTTATAGTGAGATCGAGAAGAAAGTGCAGAGTCTCGCTGTGGTCAGCACTGTGTTCCTGTTACGCTGAGTACCTCGTGAAGCCAGGTCCTGAGTTGGTGCTGGCTGTGTCCCACGTCCGCGTGCTTTGACAGCCGCGCACTGCCGCGTCCGCTCCGTGACAGCCCCACACCCCGCTGCTCCGCTGCCCGCGGAGTCCCTGTGCTCCACCTCCGCCCCTCCATCTCTTCGCGGCACAAACTCCCGACATCACAGACTTCCCGTTTCGGTCACGGAGTTGGAATCCCACCGTGCTCAGCCTCTGCAGACTGGAATCTTTCGCAGAGGGACGCGTCAGTGCCCGTCCTCGGGACGGACCACAGTGCGTTTACTGTTCTCCCGCTGCGGGGCCCCTGATCGCTTCCACTGTCCCGCAGTGACGGGTCCGGCTGCTGTAAACACTCACGTGCGGGTTTGTGTGCAGACAGAGCTTTCCACCAGCCGGGTGAATGCCACGAGCACAGGGGCTTGGCCCAGGCAGGGCTGTGTTTGCCTTGTGAGGAAACTGCCAGCCTGGCTTCCAAAGCGCCGGCCCGCCTGGCATTCTCCCTGGTGTGGAGGAGGCAGCCCTTAGCATGTTTAAGGCCTGCACATTTTGTTGTCTTAGCGCAGTACAATTTTCTGAAAACCAGATGCCAAGGTTCGGACATTTAGACTGTGTTACTGGTGTAATGCGCAGCAGGACTCACACTTGTGTAAACTCCGGCTGTGGAGTCACGTGGCCAAAGGGTATGCTGAGTGTTTTTAAGGCCTGGTTTTGCTCTCTGGGAGGGTGGCCTCGGTCACCGTCCCTCAGCAGGGTTTCAGCTGGGAGTGGTGGCACACACCTATGATCACAGCACTTGGGAGGCTGCGGCAGGAGGATTGCCATGCGTTTGAGGCCAGCCTGGGCTACATAGTAAGTTCAAGGCCATCCTGAACTACACAGTGAGATCCTGTCTCAAAACATCAAAAGAAAGAGACTTAAAAATGACATTTTAAAGAATTATTAAACATATGATTAATAATAGCCTTAAGCATGAAACTAGAAACCCAGGGCCCAGCAGGAGGAGAGTAGACAGATAAGCGTCGCTGTCTTCACACTGTAGCGAGGAAGAATGCATTAGAGCCGTGAGCTGAGCCAGGGCGGCAGCGAATCTCAGAAACACGTGCCAAGCAAGCCACACCCAGAGCGGCGCACGAGCTATGCTCCGTCCAAGCACGGCTGGGGACCGGCCGCTTGCTCCGCGTCCTCAGAGGGCAGCTGGGGGGCGGCGGCGTGCAGGGACTGGGGAGGGCTTGGGTGAGAGTGCAGCGTCCGCGGGGAAGCAGCACCAGCCAGGGTGGCAGTGGGAGGGAAAGGACAGCTTCGCTCTTCAGGTATAGACGTCATGTTTTTAAAGACTGCAAATCATCCAGCAGAACTGCTTGTATTATACTAAAACGTGTATGTGCTTATTGAGTGCACGTTGTACATCATAGTTCATTGGGAGAATAGGGTCTTAACTAGTTGTCTGAATGCTAGAAGGTAAATTATTCCTGATTTTTTTCCTATTTCTCTGTGTCCAGTTTTCTACAAAGAGTGTATTGCTTTTCTGGTCAGAATAAATCATCTCGGAGAGGAGGGGCAGTTTCTAGGAAACGGAGTTTGTCTCCTGCTCTCTGTCTACTGTTTGTTTCTTAGGATTTTTTTTTTCTTTTTTCTTTTTTTTTGTCTTCTTGAGACAGGGTCTCACTATACAGTTCAGGCTGGCCTCGAAGTCACTTTGTAGCCCAGGCTGGCCTCAAACTCACAGTGATCCTCCTGCCTCAGCCTCCTGAGTCTTCTTTTCTTCAGGATGTTAGTATTAAAAGGGACTAAGAAGACACTGAAGTCTCTAAATGAATATACCCTGCTCCTCACGGTTAATCTTGGAGAGACATTGATTTCTTTTTTTTTTTGAGACATCGATTTTTTTTCAGGCCTGTCATCTTGTATTAGAGGGGGCTAAGGCACTGGAAACAATATTTTTGCAACATTGTAGCAGCTTGGAGAGCTTTTTATAGATTTAATGTTACAGCTATTTATAAATAAAATGTCAGACAGGAGCACTTACAGGAATAATGTAAACATCGGCTCTCAATGGCTAGTCCTGAATTCTGGCAAAGGCAACCTTGGTCCATAAAACAAAAGTCCGAGTGGCCTTGCACCACCGAGAAGCGACCTCTCTGCTGGGCCTCGAGCTGGGCCTCCCTTTGGATACTCAGCCAGTTCCAGCCAGCGGTCGCAGAACTTTTCTGAGTTTTGCTGCTCTCTATTGTGGTCTCTTTTTTGAGGTTAAGTAGGAAAATTTATTGGAGAATAGGACTGGGGCACAAGAATAGCACCTGAGAGACAGGAGGGGTCCTGAATGAGTGGGTTGCCCTCTGTTATGGTCTTGAGAAGTTTGTAAAATAATGCATTTCCTTTGTCTGGCAGAAGCAATTCGGTATCTGTAGTTGGGGATGAAGTAATTTTCTTTTTTTTTTTTTGTCTTTTTGAGACAGGGTCTCACTGTGCAGTTCAGGCTGGCCTTGAGCTCACTTTGTAGCCCAGGATGGTCTTGAACTCGCAGAGATCCTCCTGCCTCAGCCTCCCAGGTGCTGGGATTACAGGAAGTGATTTTCTTGAGTTTCACTCATTTTGCTTGAAGCATTTTACAGATGCCATAAGTTTCCAGGTGCCTTCTTTCCTCACCCTACCTCCACCTGTCAGAGTATAAGAGGCCAGACAGGAAAGAGCATTTTCTTCCCATGAGGCCACAGGGCCAGCGGAACAAATGCTCAGAGCCGGGGACCATGTGGGGCTCATGTCTCGCCTCCGAGCTGGTGAGGTCGGGGTGGTGTCCATATGCTCAGGCCTGTACCTGTCCCCCTCCCTTGCTAGGGGACTACCTGGGTGGTGAGGCATACTGGGCCGGAGGCCTACACCTGTACACCCCGCTGCCCTTCCGGCCAGGCCAGGGTGGCTTCGGAGAGCTTTTCAGAACCCACTTCTTCCTCAACGCGGGAAACCTCTGCAACCTCAACTACGGTAAGAACCAGCTGCATGGGGCCCATTCTGGGGCAGCAGGAAGTGTGGGCCCCAGGCCCCGCCCCTCCTGCAGTGCCGAGATTGAACCTAGGGTGCTGTCTCTCAGCCAGGGCTCCAGGGGCCCCAGCCTCCCTTCGCGCGTTCTCCTCGAACAGCAGGCTTGCTCTAGGGGTGACGCAGGCTGCCACAGGACAGCGAGGCAGTCTCTGAGGGACGCGTCCTCTCTCCCCAGGGGAGGGCCCCCGAGCCCACATCCGCAAGCTGGCCGAGTGCATCCGCTGGTCCTACGGCGCCGGCATCGTCCTCCGGCTCGGCAACATCGCACGGCTGGAGCTGAACTACTGCGTCCCCATGGGCGTGCAGCGGGGCGACAGGTACGCGGGCTGGCTCGCCACGGGTGCCCTCTCGCCAGGCGCCTGGGGACGTCGAGTAGTTAGCAAAAGCGGAAACCCCGGACTTTGCTGTGTCGGGGTTCTCTCCTTGCACGTTGGAGGAGCGCGTGTGACACGCCCTCCCTCGGACACGCTGCTTCCTGTCCCCGGGGCACGTCTATAGGCACTGTGGGTCCAGCTGGCACTTGATGTGGAGGGTCGGGTGAAGGTCAGCCATGGCCAGGGGCTCATTCTTGAGAGCGTCCCCTCCGCCCCGAGCCGCCGCCCTGGCCTTTGCAGCGCTGCCTTGAGGACTTGCCGGATCCCTCGCTGTCTGCCCAGGCCTGGTCCGGGACCCCTGGAGACGCCTAACTCCAGTGCCGCGCAAGCCCCTGCCCTGACGCGGTGCGGCGTCCTCTGGGGCCTGTGCCGCTCGCGTCCAGCTCACGCGGTCTCCAGGGTGCGATTTTACCCGGGCGGTGACCCCCCCATCGCTCTGTGCGTGGATTCACTGCGGGACTTAGCCCATGGCAAAGCCAAGTTCTGGTTTGGGGAACTTTCTGGATTTGTTTCCCCCAAATATCATTGATCCACATTTAGTGACTCTGCAGTTGCAGAACCTATGTGGATGAATATGGTGAGAGGGCATTTACAGAAATTAATCCCTTTTTTGTTAGTTTTTGTTTGTTTTGAGATACAGTCTCACTATGCAGTTCAGGCTGGCCTTGAACTCACTATGTAGCCCAGGTTGGTCTTGAACTCACAGGGATCCTTCTGCCTCAGTCTCCCAAGTGCTGGGATTATAGACATGCGGCACCATGCCTGAGTAGTTTGTTGTTTTATTTTTAAACAGGACTAGGGATTGAACCCAGGGTCTTTGCACTGATCTTTATCCTTAGGACTTTTTAAAAATTTTTTCTTTTGAGACAAGGCCTTGCTAAGATTTTCAGGCTGGGCTTGAACTTGCAGGCCTCCTGCCTCAGCCTTCCAGAATGCTGGGATAGTAAGTGTGCGCTGGCACACCTCGTTTACTGCCACTTCTTACATTACCATGGCTGCATCATACAAGAGTCAGGAAATCCGTAAGTGTCACTGGGCGGCTTCAGCCACAGCGTTTGCTCAGAGACTGGGAAATCGCAGGCAGAGGCTGGCAGAGCCCGCTCCGGACAGCTCCCCTGCCAGCTTACAGAAGGCAGCTTCGTGCTGTGTCCCGCCCAGAGGTGGGAGAGTGAGGGCACCTCTCACCCTGATCTCCGCATGTGGCTGTGGGGCAGGACCTCAGCTTGGGAGGCGGAGACACAGTGCCTGTGCCTCCGCATACACTCCGTGCTCCGGCCACCCTGTGCCCTCGGTCCCTGCCCTGTGCTGGAGGTGCTCGGCCCACCCTCGCTGATGGGCAGCCGTGGCTGTCCTAGCGCGCCCTGACGGTACCTCGCTGTACCCTACACAGCGCGCGCATGCGTGCTCTGGGGCCCACGGTCTGCTCTGCGCAGCTGTGTGGCCTGTGGCGAGTAACCTCACCTCTCTGGTCTGTTTTCCCATCGAGAGGACCGACCATCCCAGCTGGGCAGGGCTTGCCTGCGGTCGCAGTACTGGGGATTGAACTCAGGACTCCGACTTCAGAGGAGACCCGAGAGAGAGTGCCTTCCCTGGAGCAGGGTGAAGGCTGGGAAGCCGATTGCCCACTGCGGTGGGGGCCTCGCACCTCTGGCTGGACCACCCAGGTTTCTGGGTAGAGGTCTGTGTGGAGCGCTTGCCCAGCACGCCAGGGCCGTGGGTTCCAACCCCAGAGAGGCAGAGCCGTGGGCCTGAGGTCCCCTGGAGCGCGCAGGCTGGGGTCTGAGGTGTGAGCGGTCCTGTGGGGCTGCAGTACCGAGAGCGGCCACTGGATGTCAGTGCGCCCTGCGGCCTGCGCTGCTCTGAGCCGCCAGCCGGACCCCTTGTTACAGAGCGGGCACAGTGCAGCCCTGCCCTCTCTCTTCCGGTTCAATCCGAGAATATGCTCCAGAGCTTCCCTTCGGAATGTGGGTTCTTCCTAGAGGACGCTGCCAGCTGCGCCCTTGGCTCCGGCCGCAGCGCCGTTCTGTCTCGTGGCGGTGGCCGCTCATGTTTGCTGTGGGCTGTGAAGGCTGTCCAGGGCCGGCCTTTGCCCCGGACGGTGGTGTGGTTCGGTGTTTGGTCTCCAGAACTGGGATTCTGTGTGTTGAAGTGTTGCCTGAGCCGGGTGCCCGGCAGCAGTTGCAGGTTGGCGCGGTGGTCTGGTCAGCACCCGAGGCCCTGCCTGGCCGGGTGCCCCCTGCACAGTGGTGGCAGCTGTCTCTGAGCACAGTGTCCAGAGCCCGGTGTGAGTCGGGGCGCATCCGGGAGGGCAGCCTGGTCGGTGCTGGGGGGACCGGGCTCACAGTGGGCCTGGAGGCCCCAGGACGGGAACTGAGCCGCGCACCCCCAGCAGGACGGCAGGGCCGGGCGCAGCTGGCATACCGGGGTGAGGCGTGCCAGCGCGAGGCGCAGGGGGGAAGCGTGCAGTGGGGGCTCACAGGAGGCGCCTCTGGGACTAGAAGGGGCGGGACTGGGGTCAGAGCCTGAATCTTCCAGGGCGCAGCGGAGGGTGGGGGCTCAGGAGGTGGCTGGGGGGCGCCGCCCTAGGAGCCGTGTGGGTGTGGGATTCGGCGGCTTCCGTGTGACACGTGCCCGTCTGGTGAGAGAGCCTGGCCGGAAGATCTGCCTGTTCCGAATTACGTCAGCGTGGGCCTTAGCTGATGTTTTACCCTGTAGCTCATTTCCAGGCATTTTCTAACCCAAGGAACGTAAGCCTAGGCCCCTTCGCATACATGGGATAACACGAAAAATGGAAACAAACCGTGCAGTCCCCGCACATGGCTCAGGGTACCAAGCGAGACAGGCTTCGCTCTGGGTGACGCTGTTGGGAAGCTCACAGGGGACGTCTGCTCAGGCCACTCTGCCCCCAGTGACAGCCCTGTGAGTGGACAGTGACAGCTCAGGACGGGGGGCTCAGTGGCTGCCCAGGTTGACCTGCTGTGACCTTCACCCTGGTCCAAGCCCGCTGCTCCTCCCAGCTCGGCCCTGCTGACCTCCCTGTCGGGTGGAGAGGCTCGGGGGGCAGCGGGGAGTCACCCCCCCTTATTTCCATCCCTGTTTTCCAAAGGCTGAGTCTGAACCCGGCCAGGGAGAAGGCAGGGAGGGCTGGTGGGGGCTGCCCACAGGGTCCCTGGGCTGCCGCCGTGGCTGCGTGGCCGGGAGGAGGGGAGCGTGCCCTTCACCTCTGCCTTTCTTTCAGGATCTGCGACGGCGTCCAGTTCGGAGCTGGGATAAGGTTCCTGTAGCTGGGCTGCCTCAGGCGTCCGCGCTCCTGGAACCCTCGCAGCCAAGCGAGCCGGGCCTCGTCCTCGCCAGCAAACGTGTCAATAAATTGTGAGGACACATACTCGGCCGCAGTGGGGCTCTGGTTTGCTTCTCCGGGTGCCTGGGGCCCTTTGCCTGCACCGCCCCAGGCCCAAGGGTGCTCGGATGTCCCCGATTCCTTTCCCTCCCACCTCCCCTGGGGTCCCACAGGCCGGAGTGTCCGGCAGAGCCAGAGCTGTCACGCCAGCGGGCATGTGGGGTCCCGTGCGCGAGTGTGCGTGCGTGGGGGGCACGGGAGAAGTTACCACGCTGTGATGCTGGGGACACGAGGCGAGCGGGGAAATGTGTCCTCTGTAGCGTGACGGCAGCCCCCTGAGATCGAAGCCACAAGCCGGTGGCTGAGACATCACGGACCCGGGAGGAGGGCGGGGCTCGCGGTGCCGCACTTGTCCGGTGTACGAGGGCCCTGGCTTCCGTCCTCAGTGCTACTGAGGCCGTGGCTGGGCGCCTGCCTGGTAAGTGCAAGGTCCTGAGTTTGATTCCTGGTTCCCAAAAAATAAAGGAAGAAATAGCAAGAGCACAAACACAGCTTCACTTCCCAGGGGCTCAGGAGTCCAGCCTGGGCCTCACTGGGCTGCAGCCCAGGCATTGGCAGGGCTGTGTGGGCAGAGGGAGGCCCTGCGGAGAAGCTGGCCCGGTCTTCCCCAGTCCCTAGCTGCTGCTCCTTCCGGAGCTGCTTCCCGGCCCCGCCCCCTCACCCTGACTCCCCACCACCGCTCTGCGACCCTGGCGATGGCCTGGACCCCACAGGGAACCCCGGGTGGTCTTGCTGAAGTCCGCCAGTGAGCGCCCTCGGTTCTGCCTGCTGCCTTCTCTGCCCTGTCCCGTGATGCTGTCATCGCCCCCGTGGTCTGCAGGCCACGGGCCCAGCGCCGCTTGGATTCCAGAATCCTCCTTGCTCAAGTCCCTTGTATACATGCACAGAACCGTGTTTCCCCGTCACGTTTATCACAGCACAGTGTGTGCATAACCTGTGCACAGCCCCCCGTATGCACCAGATCAGCTTCGGGTAACTCCCAACACCCGAGACAGCGGAAGTGCTGTGAGACGCGTTTCCGTGAACTGCTCGGAACTCTGCGGAGGAGCGTCTGTGCCTGACCCGTACGGGTGCGGTTTTGTTCCTGATGTTCAGTCTGCAATTGGCTGCATCCATGGATAGAGTCGGGGATACAGAGCCGCGGATACAGAGAGCTTGAGTACAGGCCTTAGGGTGTGGGCACGGAAGGCTCAGCACCCGGGTGGGACACGGATCTGAACCACAGCGCTGCCCTGCAGAGGCATGATCAAAACATTCAGTGAACGTTGAAATAAAAGTTATTATAGTGAAAGACATCACCATGGATCTTCCTCAGAATCCTCCCCTGGATTTGAGCACACTCACCCCGTCGTTCTTGCCACTTTCCGAAGCAGCTGCAGAAGTTCTCTTTCCCGAGTCTTTACGTGGTGTGATCAAAAATGCGGTGACTGCCGCTGCCCGGTGCCATCCAGCGCAGAGGCAGGCTTGCAAAACACAACAGTGTCCTCTTCCCGCTTGGTCACCGGGTCTGGCGCCGTGTGACCTCCGGCTCTTCCCCAAAGTCAACGTGACCAGGAAAGGAGAATGTTCTGAGTTGATTCACATCGAGGCAGCCAGGACAGCGCAACCGAAGACCCTCAAGAAACAGCACTCCAGAGCTGCTGCACAGCGGCGGGAAGGAAGGGTGCGGTTGTTCACAGCAAGGGCGGATATTTCGAGGGGAGTTAGTAACAGTGTGTCTTTTACTATAATACAATGTTTAAAACGTAAACACTGTATTTTCCAGTCACACCCATTTGACAGGGCAGTTTGGGGGACGGATATCAGGAAGTGGGCTGGCACCCAGCTGCAGGTTGGGGCCCCATGCGTGCCAGTTCTGTTTACTTCTTCCCTCTGGGCCTCAGGTTTCTCTTCTGTCGAAAAGGACTTTGCTGAGCACCTCCCCGCACTGTGACAGAGTCCACAGCCTAGGGGCCCCCGCCAGTGGGCTCTCTGCTCCCCAAGGTAGATCCCAGGGGACCCAGTGCCGTGGGGCATTTGGCCCTCCTGGGGAGGGGACATGCACGGAGGCAGACGGTAGGCGCCTGTTTGTGACTCAGGCCGTCCCCAGCTCCCGCTCACACAAGTACACTAAGGGCCCCTCCACCAGCACTTGGGGGGCTTTTTCAAGCTTGTAGTGCCCGACATTTGGACCCCTGCAGTGGTGACCGCATAGACACCCCTTCACCTCCGTTGTAACCTTTGACGTGATCATCGGGTGACTATACACTGGATAGGCCAGGACCCCTCGGCACTGTCAGGAGTACTGCGGCCCCCAAGAGCTATGGCTGAGGCTCGTGTTCACCCTTGATGGAAATTCAGACTTTAAAAATATGAATTCCTGCTCAGTGCTACAGTGGGTGCTTAGGGTGCCCGCCGCTCTAGGTTCCATCCCCCACACCAGGAGACAAAACTCCTGGGGAACTGCATGCTGACGGGACTCACATCCTAGGGAAAGTGCATATCCCCAGTGAAAACCTCAGTGCGGAGGGTGGCGGCGTTGCGCGGGTCTGCAAGTCTCCCTGGGTTCTGACTTCAAAGCCAGATGAGTGTTCTGCATCTGTTTGTGGCAGGGGGAGCTGTGTGACGGATAGGAAGAAAGTGCCCTCTGGGATGTGCGTTTGGCAAAGGAGAGCCTTTTCAGTAACTGCATATTCCTGGGTTTGGGGTGGGCTTTTTAAGAAAGTGCCTCGATCCGTAGTTCAGGCTGGCCTTGAATTCATGGCCATCCTCCTGCCTCAGCCTCCCACACCTGACTTGGATAGCCTTTGATACTTCACCAAAACTCAGCAAGTGGTAGTTCTGTTTCTTTTTTGGCCGAGGTCAGGGTGGAAGCCAGGGCCTCCTGCTGCGCGCCAGCCTCTGACAAGTGGTTGCGTTTTGTAGGTTAATTGCAGAGCGGGATGTGACGCCCCATCTGCGACCTTTTCCCGCCCACTCACACTCACAGGCAGTGCCCAGCACGGATTATAACAGCGTGCGTTAGTCACTTGGGGAACTCTGCTTCTCTGAATCAGCCACATCTTCCAAATGCCGGCGCGTGTCACAGTTGTGCAGAGGGAAAAGATCACATTCATTAATGCCAGCGCCAGTGGCATGGTTGTTGAGGAGCTGTCAGGCTCCGGGTGGTGGATACACATTTTCCCCAGTTCCGATTTTCACTTGAAAGCTCACATTTTATCACTGGCAAGAGATGCTGTCAGTTGCTTTTCTTGAAGTTCGCTCCGTCCATCTTTGTCCATCTTCGAAGAAATGTCTGTGGGAAACCTGCATCCAAGTAACCACAGCTTCCGGTCTCTCTCTTCTGTGCGAAGATGACTTCCACGTGCAGAGCCGATCCACGGCTGTCCCCGGGAGCAGGGCCCTTGCTGGGGAAGAGCTGGAGGAGGTCCTGACACCACGGTTCCAAGTGGTGTGTGGCCAGGTATGGTGGCTTCAATCCCAGCATTCAGGAGGCTGAGACAGGAGGATCCTCATGGGTTTGAGGCCAGCATGGGCTGTGTAATTCAAGGCAGCCTGAACTACAATAATAATAATGATAATAATAATAATAACAAATAGACTCCCAAATCCTTTTGTTACCAGATACGAGTCATGCTCATTTTCCAGCCCTCAGGCCCCATCTGTGCTCTCTTTTTTTTTTTGTCTTTTTGAGGCAAGGTCTCACTATGCAGTTCAGGCTGTTCTTGAAGTCACTTTGTAGCTCAGGCTCTCCTCAAACTCACAATGATCCTCCTGCCTCAGCCTCCCGAGTGCTGGGATTACAGGTGTGCGCCACCACGCCCAGCAAGCCCGATCTGTGGAATGAGGGTGCCTAAACCCATCAGTAGCCAAAAATGTGGCAAAGTGCCTGGTGCCCCAGGAGCTGTTTGGTCTCCATGCCCGGCACCGTAGCTAGGGACCCTAAGAGAACCAGCACAGACCATCGCTTGGTGTGAAGGTGAACCCTAGGTCCTTGTGAAGTGGAAGCCTGGTGCTGGGTTCTGAGGAGCGTGAGGCAGGTGGTGCGGCCACAGGTCCAGACCACACTGGGAGGCCACGTCGCGGGCTCAGCTGCCCCGTCAGCTCGAGTCGGTGCCAGCCCTATGGCTCCATCTGCGGTCTTTTCCGGACCGTCAAGGACTGGACCCCTCAACCAAATCATTAGGCAAAACTTTGAAGAACAAAGTGAAGGCGCAGCCTTACCTGGCTGGACAAGGAATCAGTAATTATTTCTGAAAGCTCGCTCTGTGAATCGGACCAACTGGGAAAATGACAGCCTCTCTCCCTGCCCCCCGAATCAGTCTGTTTCTGACGCAGGAAGCGTTTCCGTCGCTTGTCACCGCCTGGATGAGCTGATCAATTAAAATATTCTGACTTGGGCTGGGTGAGAGAACAGCGGGCCTGGATCCATCCATCACCGAGCCAGAGAGGCGACCTCTCGATGTGGAGTCAGACACCCAATACAATTGCTTCTATCTTCTTATCACACCCAGAAATTACTGCTCATCAGAATGCAATTTCCCTGAAATACAAAACCGGCAGAGCTACTGCTAAGAATATTGGAACATAATAAAGAGCCCGAGCTGCGGCCTTGGTATTGAACTCGGGAGTGAAGATTGACAAGTGGCCCTTATTGGGGAGAAGTGTTGAAATCAAAGAGGTCCAACGTCTGGAGATGTCAGTCCTGAGTAAAGGTGGGCAGGGCGTGGTGGCGCATGCCTGTTAATCCAGCCAGCACTTGGGAGGCTGAGGCAGGAGTATCACCAGGAGTTCGAGGCCAGCCTGGGCTGCATAGTGGGACCCTGTCTCAAAAAAAAAACTACATATTTTGGCGGAGCCCTGGTCCTTAATGTCACCTTTGAGACAAATGCTCCGCCCCTGCGCTGTGCCCCAGCCCTGAAAACAGAGCAGTAACGTACCCCACCCGTTTCTCCTGCTGACCCTTAACACCAGCGTGGCCCCAGGGACACCGCTGTGGGGAGCATTTGCCCAGCATGCGGGCTTCAGCCCCAGTGCTGCAAAAAAGGAACAAAGAAAAAAGATAGTTCAAGGGGAAGCCTTCGAGGAGGAGGCAAGGCGTGTCCTTCAGCCTCAAGTGTGACTCCTCAGCGTCCCTGGGGCACCTGGAGGTGCGACTCTGCAGCTGTGCTTCCCGAGCACAGTGCGGCCCTGAGGGGCCCAATGGGGGGGGAGGGGCTTTTCCAGCCGCAGCAGAGCCGGGGTGGGCAGTGACTGTTGGAGACAAAAGTGGCGCTCAGATCCTCGCCTCTGGGAGTGTCTGGAAGCCCTGCAGGAGAGGGCCGGAGTCCGCTCTTCACAGCCTCGTGTGCTGGCGCAGGCCTGACATCCTGTCATAGGCAGCGGAATTAGATAGAAATGTTATAGACAGACAGGGCCAGGCCCTCAGAGGAGCCAGTGCGGAAGATGCGATACCTTGCACCTGTGGGGGAGACAGACCCCTCTGCTGTGGACAAAAGATTAAACAGATGCGCCCACATAGCTCCCGAGGGATGGACCTCAGCGATTGATACTCTAAATAGTTAATCACCTTGAAAGCCTGGAAGAGTCACTAGCCCAGCCCCCTACAGGAAAGGCCGCTGTTCTGTATTCATGCCCGCTGGCTACGTGACTCGCTTCCCCATTTGATCCCGATTTAATCAATTTTACCTGAACAATTATACTTGTAATCTTATTGGCTGATCATAGTTGTCTTACCTCATGCCCAGCTAGTGAGTTCCCATGTTTTCCACCTCGGACCTGCCTCACTTTGAGGTTTGCTCTGTAAAAAAAATCTAGAAAAGATAGGTTCATGGGCACCCCACTTGGGCCCCACTTCTGTCCTCTTGGACAGAGGCTTTTTTGTTTGTTTGTTTTTCTGGTACCGGGAATCGAACTCACAACCTCGTGCTTGCCAGGCAGGTGCTGTGCTACTGAGCTAAATCCCCAGCCCCAACAAAAGCTTTCTTTCCCTCAATAAATACATTCTGTATGTATTTATTGAGGCTCTTAACCTCTATTGTAACTAAAATTCATTCTTCGACTTTAAAGAACATGAATTCATCCCAGATATCTTTCAGGTTGGGAGTTTTTTTCACTGTATCAATCCCAGTGCTTCAGGAGGCTGAGGAAGGAGGGTCGCACGTTTGAGGCTGGCCCGGGCAATGTAGTAATTTAGGGAGACCCTGTCTCAAAATAAAAAAATAGGACTGAGGAGGTAGCTCAGCAGGAAGGCCCTGGGTTCAATCCCCAGTGCTGGAATAACCCTTGTGACTTCCCAGCTTCATGCCGCCGGGAATAAAGCGTTTCCAAATTAACCAGGCGTGGCTAGACTCAACCCAGGGCCTCAAGGGTAAAGCACAGTCTGGCTCCACACAGGCCCAGTTTAAATCCAGAACGGATGCAAACCTGTAGTCACTCAATAGGTGCCAAGGCGCCTGCTGAACGGTTTCAGCTTCCCCGGAAGAGAAGTCCTGGCGAATCCTCTGGACTAATATTCCCAAATACTTGGTAGCAGAATTAAAGGAAAGTCAAGCATTTAAAAAACGTTACTTTTCCAAGGTGAATAACTATTCCTATACTAAAACCTGTGATAAGAAGTGGCCAAGGATTTGATTATTTTACTTACATATTTATTGTATTTACTTTTTAGGGACAGGGTCTCCCTGTGTAATTCAGGCTGGCTTTGAACTCACTAGGTACCCAGGGCTGGCCTCAAACTCATGGCCATCCTCCTGCCTCAGCTCCCAAGTGCTGGGATGACAAGCATGTGCCACCACACCTGGACCAAGGATTTAATTATTAAAAGAGAAAAACTTTGCCCAAATTTTTTTTTTTTTTTTTTTTTTTGCAATAGGGTCTCCCTGTGTTGCCCAGGGTAGCTTCAAGCAGTCTTCCTGTCTCAGCCTCCTGAGTAGTTGCAGCCACAGGGTGCTAGTATCTGGCTGCTGTTTTGTTCTTTAACCATTTAAAAATGTGTGCATGCTTGTAATCCCAGCACTGGGGAGGATGAGGCAGGAGGATCGCTGTGAGTTTGAGGTCCACCTGGAATACAAAGTGAGTTCAAGTCCAGCCTGAACTTCATAGTGAAACCCTGTCTCAAAAAAAAGGCAAAAGAAACCAAAACAAAACAAAATGTGCAACCCAAACTGGGGTGTAGTTCAATTCAAGCACATTTGCTTGGTATGGGTGAGGCCCTGCGTTTGTGCTCAGGGCCATGGTCAGGGAGAGGAGAAAAAACCCCAGCCATCCTGGCTCTCAATCCACAGAGTAAAAGCGGCAGCCTGATCAGGCCTGTGGGGTGCGGCGTTCGCCCCGAGTTAGGCGAACCTGGATCCCTGTCTTGGTTACCTTTCTCTCGTTGCTGGGACAAAATATCTGACGACCAAAATTAAGGAAGGAAAGGTTTACTTCGCTTACAGTTTGTGGAGGTTTCAATCCATACTAGGCATGATTATAAGGCAGAGTGGCACGTGGCAGAGGGCTGCATCTCAGGGCGGCAGCACAGCAAAGCTGCCACTACACACACACCACGGTGGAATCCGGGAGGAGGAATGCCCCCAAGCCGCTCCTTCCTCTCCCTTACATATGCAAACTATCCACTCCCGGGCGGGTGCAGCTCTCACACCCATATTCAACTCTAATAGCCTGCCCCATATCCGCAGGAGGCTTTGGGGGGACACACAGACATAAACCATAACAACTCCGCAGACCCACTCTGAACTGGACTGCAGTTTCCCACCTGTGGGAGCAGCAGCATAAATCCACAGAGCTGCGCTTCAAGTACGATTCGTCTTCCTTCCCCGAATGGGACCTGCACCTAAGCAGGCACTGGATAGGTCTGTTGAATGAATGGATGGATGAATATTTGAACAAGCAGAAGAGCTAAAGAATCGCCTGCTCCCCGGGGAGGTGAGGAGGCCACGCCATCCCCGCCCCACTCCCTCCAGTGTAGCCCGGGATCCTCCCCCAGCCTGCTCTGCAGCAAGCCCTTTTCTGTCCCCGGCACACTGTAAACCCTTCCTCCCTCCCCCCGCCTCCTCCCTGCTGGGAACTGAACCTGGGGCTGCTCTAGCCCTCAGCCACAACCCTAGCTTTTTCCATTTTTTAATTTTGAGGCAAAGTCTAAATTTCCCAGGTTGGGGCCAGGGATGTAGCTCAGCAGACACAGCACCTGCCTGGCAAATGCAAGGCCCTGAGTTCGATTTCCAGCGCTAAAAAAAAAACAAAACTGCGCAGGTTAGCCTTGAACTTGTGATCCTCCTGCCTCAGCCTCTGCAGTAGCTGGGATTATAGATGTGCACCACCACATCCAGTGGTTCTTCCTTCTTTGCTCATCATCTAGCTCCAGCCAGTTACTGCTGCCCCTGGGGCAGAATCCAGGACCCTACAGATGCACAAACTGGAGGTCGCCCTGCCCTGCCGCTACAACCTGCACACAGCCTGCGGAGAGCTCTTCTTGACGCATAGTAACTGTTAGTATGTAAGTGAGGTAAGCAGGTGTTAACACTGTATCAGTCAGGCAGGAATGACAAGAAAAGGTGCCACAGTTTAAAGACACATTTCCGAGCACGCGGAAGTCTTGAAGGCTTCCCCAGCACCCCAGGCACTGCTTGTCAAAAAAAAAAAAAAATTACAGCTGTGTAGTCTTTCAGGCACCAAGAGTACTAACCTATTGTTACAGAGCGTATTTTGTGTGCCCCACACTTCAGCTCACTTTGGTCATATGTAAGGCACTGTCCTGCCTGGAGCAGCAGGGGTCAGCCACCCCAAGGCCCCGGCCACTGATTTTCATAGCTCTCTATCCTAAGTCTTTAAGTGTCACTGATGTTGGAATCACCTCCCGAAGCCTTGCATTTCACTGATTTCCTTGCAGGTCTGGCATTTGGGCGCCTCAGGGAATTTCCTGTAGAGAGGGGGCCGCACACTGTCCTTCCCGGGTGAAAGTGTAACTCAGTCACAGCAGCTCGGCCCTGGGGGCTGTTTGTCGTCAGCTACAGAGCGGCACCTGGTGCGGTCGCGGGGGCGGAGTCTCACACAGGTCCCACCTGGAGGAATGAACGTTTCTATCACTCACACGTCAGCCTGCACAGTCAGCAGATGCTGGCGCTGCTCAGAGAAGCAAGCGTTCATCTTCTCAATCAACATGTATTCTAACTGGTTTGGAAATAGTACCATTTGCACCACATCATCATCAATTGCTTCTTGTGTGTGTGCTGGAAGATACAGGCAGAGCTCAAACCAGCTGTGTCACCTTGACCGAGTATCTGAAGATTAAGAGTCTGGCTCCCTGAGTCAGGCATGGTACACATGTACTTGAGAGGCTGAGGCAGGAGGATTGCTGGGAGCTCTGAACCACCCTGGGCTACGTAGTAAGTTCAAGGACAGCATGAACTACAGAGCAAGATCCTGTCTCAAAAAAAAAAAGAAAAGCTCATGTGTCTGCAAACAGAGAGATGTACAAAATGTGTGTACACACACACAGCCGTGCGGTATGTGCACGTTGGTGCGTGGAGTGTTTAGGTGCAGATGTAATTCCCTTGCCGTGACAGTGAGCGCCACAGGTTTTGTTTGATTTGTTCACGGGTGAAACCGAAGGCCTGGACAGGCAGCACAGAAAGGGCCGGGGCAACACTGGTGTGAACTGGGGCTGGGGATTTAGCTCAGCAGCACAGCGCCTGCCTGGCAAGCGCAAGGTCGTGAGTTTGATTCCTGGTACCGGAGAAAAACCAAAAAACAAAAACAAAACAAAGCAAAAAAACCCACTGGTGTGGATGAGTGAACGGCAGCTTTCCTGCAAGCTAGTCATCGGGGGACCCGTCCTGCAGGCGGACAGCCCCATCCCTGGCTGTCCCAGACTCTTCACCCAAGCCAGGTGCTGCTAGAATTTGTGCAAAGATGTGCACCGGGTGGTTCCCACTGCCTGTGTGACGAGTGACACCGCGCCACACCCAGGTGCCGTGGAGCTGCCGCCGCCCCAGCTTTGGAAGGAAAGGCTGCACTGCCCAGGACGCTTTGCTGCGGCAGCGGAGACCTTGCTCAGAGGGTCAGGCTCTGATCCCTGCTGCCCTCCAAACCCGAGCTTTTGCTGGTGCCGTCCTTCTCAGCACCTGCGACCCGCCGGCCAGAATGGACAATAAATGAAATCTAGTTTCAGGGCTTTCTCCTCTCAAATCCACCAATGCCTGTTATTTATTTATTTTTTTAATGGCCTGTGAGTGAAGAATATGTTTATGATTTTAATGTTTGGGACAAAAAAATGACCAGGGCCAGGTGTGGTGGGTGCACGCTTGTAATCCCAGCACTCTGGGAGGCTGAAGCAGGAGGATCACAGTTTGAGCCCAGCCCACGCAATTTAAATGACTTACAGAGAGCCTCAATTTCAAAATGAAAAATGAAAACCAGGCTGGGGATGTAGCTCAGTGCAGAGACCCTGGGTTCAACCCCAAGTACTGTGAGACAAAAACAAGACATACTACAAACTTTAAAAAAGCAAGGTTTTTGACATGTGCAAATTATACATAATTCACATTTCTGTGTTCATCAATAAAGTTCTATTGGCACACATGGGCAAGCTGACTTGTGACACCCTGGCCCCTTGGAGGCCCTGACCGCAGACCCCTGTGCCTTCCCTGGCCCCAGAGATGTCCCCACGATATGCCCTCGTGGCCCAATCTCTAGCTCTGGCAGCACGGAACAAGCCTACTCCCCAAAGAGCCCCCAACTTCAGCTCTGCTCCCAACCCTGATCACTGCCTCCTTCACCCAAAATACTGCTCTCAGAGTAGCTGGGAAGGGCTTAAGTGCACCCTGGTATTATGCACGCAGATGAAACGTTTAGGGCAAATGGATGGTGGAGGAAATTTGGACTAAAATGCGAACATCTAATAGGCCTGGCCTTTGTCTTCCCACCCACACGAAGGCATTTTTTCTTCCTTTTCTGCTGGTGGTGGTGGTGCTGAGGCACGAAGTGGCATTTTTCAGGCAGCTTGCTTCCCTCTGCCTCTCTCCCAGCCGAGGAAGTCCGATTTGAAGAGGGCAGTTGACCTTAGGGCACTTTGCCAATCATGCAAGACTAGAACGAGTGACTCGGGTGCTGCGTTATGTATTCATTCCTCATCTATGAAATATTTGTAGGCACAAAGTGCATGTGTGGTCTCATTTGCCTACTGCGCAGAATGAAAACCCAGGGGGCTTTGCTGATAAGTGAAAACACAACTTCCCCATCTCAAAGTCGGCCAGTTTCCAGAGATCCGAGCGGAGGGCCGTGGGTGCCTGATTCCCACGCCCATCGCGCTCGGCGGGGAACACCGTCCCCGCCGCCGACTTTAAATTCCAGGCGTGTCTGGTCATCCTCTCACGCTCTTAGCATTTACAGTGAAAATCACAAGTTATTCTCTTGCCAGATCACTAAATTAGCAAACTGATTAAATAACACGGTGCAAAATGCCAGTTTAGATATTACGATCGCAGAGGCCCGCGCCAATGCTACCCGAAGCGCTGTAAGATTGCTCTGAAAGCACAACCTGGGGGAAATAAAGCATTTTCTCCACCAGTGAATCAGCTCCACATTCCCCTCCCTCCTCCACGCACTTCTGACTCTCCTGCAATTGCTTGGAGGTTTGAAAATGAGCAACACAAGAAAACACTCCAGTCTTCGTGTTCCCTGGCGGGCGGTCTTTTTCCTCTCCCAAAGAGCTAAAGGATGCTGATAGTTTTTTTGGAGAGATACCAACATCCTTTTAGTTCTAGGAAAGGGAAGTGAGACAAAGCTTGCAGTTTTTAAAACTCTGTAAGCACTTGCAGCGGTGCCAGGATCGCGTGTGGCATCCTGGAAGGGACGAGCCCTGGCGGGTGTGTGCGGCCTGGAGTCAGACTGGGCTGGGATGCCGGGCGTGGTGGTGCATGCCTGTAATCCCAGCACTCCGGAGGCCGAGGCAGGAGGATCAGTTTGAGGCCAACCTGGGCTACAAAGTGAGCTCAAGGCCAGCCTGAACTGCATAGTGAGACCCTGTCTTTAAAAAAACAAAAGAACAAAAAAACCAAGACTGGGCTGGGGGTGCAGCTCAGGGGCATCACACTTGCCTGGAAGGTGTGAAGCCCTGGGTCCCTTCCGCTGTGCTGAGGAGGACGGAGAGGTAGTGTCCCTCAAATGATCCCTCCTGGGACAGTTATTAGTGCACTTGTTAGGGTTTAATTGGTACTTGGTTCAAAGTGTCCACCGCAGGCGCGGTGTGAGGATCTCTGCTCCTGTCTGCACCAGACCCTCCCAAATAGAGCAGGACTGGCCACTTGCGTGCCACAGGGGTCTGCCGGCGCCCCCTGCAGGCGAGACCCTCTGCAGTGAGCCCAGGGTAGCCCGGATTATCCCGGGGGACTCACTCAGCACCCAGTGAACTGCCTGAACTTGAGTGATGTAAGCGACCCGTGCCAGTGCTGTTCTGAATCTGCCTGGCAGCCTTCCTCCACCACGGTGCTTCTGAGAGACGTGCACAGTGCCCCCGGTCAGCCCGGCAGATCCCCATCTGATGCAAACACCGATCATCCGCCCACTCTGTCTGATCTTCACTGCCCGGGCTGGAGCTGCTCAGCCCTTGGGTAACCCGAAGGGGGCGCCCTGGGCACAGTGGCTCTCGCTGGGCACCACGTCCACAGCGACTGCATCTCTGTGTGTGCGCTCACCGGGCCCGGGCCACCTGTTTACGGGGACGACGGTGAGGAAGTGGGTGACAGAGGTTGACCGGGACTGCAAGGTCTGAGGCCCTGCACAGGGCGTGGCAGGAGCTTGTAACACCTTAGCTCCTGTCCTTCAAGAAGTTTCTAAGGAACGGCCTCTCTGGAAGCCACAGTTCAAAGGCAAATTGAGCGATTTTCTTCAGCAGCGACAGCTGTGTGCAATCTGATTTTCGTAATTATTCCCCAAATGTCAAATGCTTGCAGGCCAACAGCGGGGTAAGATGCACGGAGGGGGGACCCTAAGGAGCGGGGTGGGGGCCTACTTGTCGGGGACAGGAGCCCAGCTCCTCTCTCTGCATCTCACTGAACTCTTTCTATTAAAATCCCCAGCTTTCCAGCCTTCAGGTTAAGATTTGTATTTGCTGCTCGGTACAGTAATTTGGAAAGTTATTTTGGTCGGGCTTCCCAGAGAGAAGGCCGTCTCTGCCAACCCCCCGGAGCGGGCTGGGAAGGAGGCACAGCTTTTGGGGCAAGACCTCTGTCCTTCCTTCCTCACAGCCCCAAGAAAACACCAATTAGTTCTCAGCCATCAAGCTGGCTTTCGATTGTCGTGGGTGACACGGATGAGACAAAAAGTCATCACGACTGATGCGATCATCTAAATAAATCTTCCGCATGGCAGTGAAGAAGGACTCGTCCTATTTTCCAGCCAGAGAGGTGCAAAGAAAGGAGATTGCAGAGCTTTCAGCCGGAGGTTTCCAAAGTGTCACTCGCCCCAGGGAATGGAATCATGGTGAATGTCGCCAAGAAGCGGCTGCTTTACCAGAGGTTTCTTACTAATAAGTTCTGCGCTTGCACTTAAAATACAGGGGGCTGGGGATTTAGCTCAGTGGCACAGCGCCTGCCTGGCAAGCACAAGGTCGTGAGTTCGATTCCCGGTACTGGGGAAAAAAATACCAAAACAAAAAACAAAAAACAAACCCACAATTCCATGTTGATACAACTTAGCTCTACACAACTCCAGCAAAGCCACTCTCGTGTGAAGCCCAATTCCTGGGTCTCAGGGAAGCCTGCTGGCCAGGGGTGGAGGAGGCACCAGGCTCCAGATGACCCTTAGAGAGCTTCCTCCACACTGCAGTGGCATTTGAAAAACTTACTTACTTTTGGGCTTTTGAAACAGGGTCTCATTATGTAGCCCAACTGGCCCTTGAATTTGCGGTGATTCCCCCTGCCTCAGCCTCCCCAGGGCTGGGATTACAGCAGTACACTGCCACGCCTGGCTGTAATGGTATTTTAAAAAGTGGAAATTCCACTTGTCTCTGCAGTGTTCATGGTAGCAATCACCAAATAAAAATTGTAAATTCTGTGTGTCTGCTGGGAGGTAGCATCGCCGGTGGAGAAGTCAGGCCACCCATTCTTCCCTGGGCTTCTCTATGCTCGATGCCTTGCAGAGGATGGGGTGGCCTTTGCCAGCCACCTCTCCCCCCAGCTCTCCAGGTCAGGTCCTCTGCCTGGGTCTGAGGCCAGCAGGGGAGTGGGGCTGGGGCGGCAGCACTGAGCGTCCTGGGTTCGGGTCTCCAGACAAAGGGGTCTGCGCAGTGCACCAGATTTTCTGACGCCAGAGTCCCCTGGGCTCAATGACAGTTTGGCTAGATGACAGTTTTTTTCCTGGACTTAATTAATTCATGAATTTATTTATTTACGTATTGGGTTATTTTTTTCTTTTTTTGGTCTTGCTATGCCATTCAGGGCCGGCCTCAAACTCTTTGGTGATCCTCCTGCCTCAGCCTCCTGAGTGCTGGAATTATAGGTGTGTGCCACCACACCTAGCTACAAAGTACAGATTTAGACAAGGACATATGCATGGACAAAGATACAGGAATACAGGGGCTATAGCTCAGCGGCACAAGTGCCTGCCTGGCAAGCACAAGGTCGTGAGTTCAATTCCTGGTACAAAAAAAAAAAAAAAAAAAAAAAACTTTAAAAAGATACAGGAAGACAGAGTGACTGGGGCGAAACTGCTGTAAGGCAGAGATTGCCAAAGATGGTCAGCAAATCACCAGAACCTCTGAGAAGGGTGTGGAACAGGTTGTCTCTCAGGAGCTCCTGAAAGGAAGCAGCGCGGCTGGGCCCTTGCTCTGCGTTTCTGCCCTGAGCCATGGGAGAATCAACCTGAGCCAGTCTGGGCCGCCCAGGACCCAGGGCCAGCGCGGCATCCCCGTTACTCACGGTCTCAGTTACCTGGGTCAGCGCGGGTAACAATAAACAAAACAAATCACCAGCTGGGACAAGAATAAAAAAGAATAAAAGGAAAAATGGAAACAAAGCTTTTGTAAGCCAGATGTGGTGGTGCACGTCTGTAATCCCAGCACTCCGGAGGCTGAGGCAGGAGGATCGTTGGGAGATCGAGACCAGCCTGGGCTACAAAGTGAGCTCAAGGCCAGCCTGAACTGCATAGCGAGAGACTCTGTCTCAAAAAGACAGAAGAAAAAAAAAAAAAGCTTTTGTAAATAAGGAGGGGAGGAGAGACTGAAGAGCGAGGAACAAAAAAAGAAAAAGCAGCAGCAAGATATATCATGTACAGGTACAAATTCCCTAAGATGAATGTTATCATTATGTACATCTAAAATGCACCCATAAAATTAGATTTAAAAATCACATGCCGTCAGGAGCCCAGTGAGGAAGGCTGCAGCTGTTGCGCTCCCTCCTGCCGGGCTGTGAACCATCCCTTTGTCCAGAGAGGGCTCCTCACAGTGCCGCAGGCTGCTGTCCACAGGGCCCTTACTGTGTGCTTCATGACGGTCTTCAAGCAGGAGAAACAGGAAGGACAGACTGACGCGGCGGCCTGGCAGACACCCCAGCTCCAGGCGTCCGGGGAGCCGGGAACCTGCCCCCAGTGGAGAGGAGGTGACTGTTTGCTCCCTCCTTCTTTACTGAAAGACAGCAAAGGTTATTTCATCCTCGCCCGGGTCAAGTCCCTTCCAAGTCTCCTCTGCCCCAGCTTCTCCCCCAAGCCCTGACCCCCCCAGTCACTGGGGTGCCTACTGCTCTGAATCCAAGGAGTTTACTGCGGGGTGCAGGCCCCGAAGCTGCAAGGGGACCCGGAACCCCTCAGCCGCACACCCCGACCGCTGGGGTAGGTGGAGCGGCTTCTGCGCAGCCTGTGTCCTCTGATACCGCTATCTGGGGTAAGCCGCCCCGCCTCAGTCCTCCGCCCTGGGCCGGCACGGCGGGACTGGCCTCAGCGGGCCGCTCTCCCCTCGCCGTCTTCCAGCCCTGGGCCTCTCCGGAGCCCCCCATTCGCTCCTAGGCGGGGTCTCCAGTCTCGGCCTGGGCCTTCTCCACATTGGCCGCCCACATCTGGCCGCAGACAACCGCAGGGAACTGTGTGGGCGCGGCCGGGACCCCATGTCCTAACCCCCGGCTTCCAGGCCACCTTCCCTTCCAGCCACGCCCCACAGCCTGGGGGCCTGTTCTCGGGACACCCCCGATTTTACCTCCAGCAGTGTCTCCGAAAACACTCCTCGAGGTCCCCTGGAGCGCGGGTGGAGGTCACCCAGGCCCCCCACCCCAGGTCCTTCGCCCCAAAGTCACGGCCTCCCGCCCCCGTCCTGGTCCTAGTAGATGCTCACGGCTGCCGGGACACGTGTGTGGCTTCCAGGACGCGCCGAGGCCGCACAAAGGGGGCTCCGGGCCGCGCACGCGGGGCTGCGGGCGTGCACGGGCGGGGGCCTCGGGCGGGCTTCTCGGGGTGACCCCCTCCCCCCGCGTCGGGTTCTCCGTCGCCC